TTCGGTAAAGTCACGTAGAAGGGTTAATAATACAAATTAAACATATTATTTTATTATTTCCCTTCTACGTGACTTTACCGAAAGAGCCAAGAATAGGTACAAAAGAAGTTCAACATACATACAGACATTCCCTTCACTTTGGACTTGGTGGTTAGCGCACTATGCTACGAATGCGGACACCTGAGATGGTTCCTTGCCACGGCCAATATTATTAGCGAGTGATCTATGAATCGGTCTTGAGCCTCCGCTAGGTCGACTCAGCCATAAAACGAGTACCCGTGGTGTACATATTTTGGTGCGTTGTGCGTTATTTCCTGCGGTGTGTCTGATATGGTGCGGTGTGTGTGTGATTGGCGCGGTGTGTACAGGGCCTCCTGGTGGCCATCCTCTACTGCTTCATCAACAGTGAGGTGCGTACAGTCTAATTAGCACTCACTATTGCAAAAGCCCAAGCAAGCTGGCACCTCTCCTGATTGGTTGGTGAACATGCATTCATTTCAGTCGGGTCTCATCTGGGTTGGCGACCCAGATAATATGTATGCACCGGGCACACCACATCCAGTAAACTTGTCTCCTCCGCCATGGCTGTGGCTACTGTGGGGGACGAGCCACCTGCTCCCAGTGCGTCAGTGGCCTGGAAAATATTCGGTGAGAAATGAAGCCGGTGGTTGGCGATCGTGGCGATCGTGGACGTCGCCAATCGGTGCCTCATCAGCAGGGTCGGGCTCGCTTGACCCATCGGTCCAACACAAGCACGCTCTGCATCTGTCTCATCAGCATGCAGAGTCGTCGGGTTTGCTCTAACAATTGATTCGTCGCAAGCCAACGCTGGACCGGTTTCGCCATTCGGTGTTCTCATCAGCTCACGATGAGGATGTTCTCGCCACCACCCCCCTTCCCCCGCAGGTGCAGGCGGAGCTGCGCAAGACGTGGGAGCGGTGGCGCTTGGAGCGGGGGGCCGGGGGGGCCCGGGACGGCCCCGCGGCCCTCAAGCCCATGCACTCCACGCTGCTGTCGGCCGCCAGCACCGACCACCGCCTGGGCTCCGACAGTGCCGAGCTCTGAGGCGCACCTTGCCTGGCACGCTGCAGCAGGGGTCACCGGCGGGGATGACACCTAGCCTGGCACGCGGAGACCCCACCACCCCCCCCCCCTCCCCGCCGGGCAAAAAAGGGAGCTAGTCTGGCATGAAAACAGTGCGTGGCTAAAACAATTCGCCCGAGCTGGTGTAGGAAAATGTGGGCGGGTATGGAGGGGGGGAGTCACCTAGCCTGGTACGGAGCTCCCCTACCCGGCGCGGATACTCCACTGGGCACCCAGTTGGGCACGGGGTCACCGTGGGGTTCGCTTAGCCTGGCACGGAGACCCAAGGTGACACAGGGACCCCGCGAGGGTGACTGCACGGCCCCCTGCGTCACCCCCCCCCCCCCTCTGTGAAGGGGTGGGCCCCACGGCTGATTGGCCTGAGGGTCGCTGCGTCCCCTGGGACCCTCTTGCCTCCCCCACCCACCCCACTCACCCGTCTCCCATGGGGGGCCCCCGACCCCTAGGACTAATCGTGGGCCTTCCAACCCCCCTTCCCCTTCCCCACCAAGGCCCCAGTGTCTGTCACCCCCAGGGCCCCTGTACGGAGACCCGGGGACGGTCAAGACAAGTCAAGGGTCGTTGTGGGTCATGGGGTCAGGGACCAACTCGTGTTGTTGTGATTGTGGTTGCGTGTGAAAATGTGTGCAGGAAGTGGACTCAAAGTGCACCCAGTCTTGCACAAGTGCTTTGGTGACGTCGCCGCCACTCAGTGGCATGTTGCGAATGGGTGGGGGGGCTGCTGTGTGTATGCGCGTGTGCGTGGAGCGATAATACAGCGGCACTTACCCCAACAGTCTTAAGAGGCTATACGGGGATCTTTGTCTTTGTACAGCGGCTACCGCACTGCACTCTGGCGACCCCAGTTCTATTCTCGCTCACGGCCAACATCAGTGACAATAATCTGAAGCGGTCCTGGTCATCTCCTATGTCTGCTCAGCCTTAAATGATTACCAGGTAGGATGTGTAAACATCGTCACTGGGGAGACAAAGGCGGCCGGGCGTGGTGCTGGCCACCCACCCCATTGTATGCCGTGCCGGCTTCCTTAATAGGTTCTCGCTAACAGCACTTGCCCCAACAGTCTGTAAAGGCTATACGGGGGGTCTTCGTCTCTATATGTGCGTGTGTGGTAGAGGGAGGGAGGGAGCGGTGGCGTGGTAGTTTGCGCATTGCGCTACAAACCAGGCAACCCAGCTAAGTTCGATTCCCGGCCACGGTGAATATCGGTGGAGAGTAAATACCCGAAAACCGGTTCTCCAACGGTTCTGGGCCTCCTCGATTCAGCCTTAAAGGGTATGACGCTGATCCGCGGAGACAAATGCGGCCGCGAGTGGCCCAAGCCACAGGACTCCCTCTAGCTCGTTCCAACCTTAATAGACGCTCCCTAACTGTCTCCCTAACTGTCTGCGCAATTCATAGAAGCTCTGCGATGGATCTTTGTGTCTAGGTACATATGTGAACATATGTGTGTGTGTGTGTGCGTGCTTGCTAACACACGTACAAAACCGTGAACATACGGCTGTGCGTGCACGTGTAGGTGTACAGGATTAGCTATCCTCTGTGGAGGAGGCTCGCGAAAGGACGCACATGGAGAGTTGAAGGCAGTCGCCTCCCCACCGCAACAGCGGAGGGCAGAGGAGCGACGCTCACAACAAACGAGCGGAGCGCAGGGCGCCTTAAACGCAGCGAGTTTGCACATTTGGTGCATCTGCCAGTCAACTCAGTCGGTCGACCCGTGGCACCTGGGTCTGTCCCGTGACCTCCTGCCGGCAGGCCTTGCACTTCACGCGGCCTCAAAGTGCACCTAGCCTGGCATAAGCACCGTGGCCACGTCACCGCCACTGAGTGAACGGCGGTTGTTGAAGCTATATACGCGTATACGTTAGCGTGTGCGCGAGCGTGCGTTCACGTGTTTGCTATTTCAATATTCGAATGCGTGAGCATGCGTGTGTATGGTTCATCGAGAGACTCGATGAGCCACACCTTGCGAGTCGCACCAATCGGCCTCCGCGCCGTGGAATATTTTTTAAGGGCCAGATTTTTGTAAATCCGGCCAGAAGCCTCAGCAGCAGTGCGAGTGGCTCGCAGTGGGAAGGTTGGGAGTTCAAATCCTAGTTGGGGGGGGGGGGCGGTTGGGGGTGATTGACTCTGCCCATTATCCCTCTGGAGGGAGGGTCAATATGATGAGTACTGTACTACCACTGTGTGGGGAAGCCAACAGCGGTTGTCCTATGGATGGACTCGCCCCCGTCATATGAATGTGGAATTTCCACCACCGGCTCACTCGAGCAGAAGATCACTTTTGAATTTGGAACGTTTGTTTTCTCGGATGTTCTCGTCGTGAGCCAGCACTGTCATCTCTGTGTAGCTCACCTAGAACACAATTACAATGTACATCAGTCGCACCGCGTGTATTTCAGGGTGTGTGTACACGTGTACAATTACTGTACGTGAGTGCATATGTGTACGCTAACAGCACTTGCTCCAACAGTCTATTTAAGGCTCTAGGGGGATCTTTGTCTTGTATACAGTGTGTGTACTGTGTTTATATCCGTGTGCCTGTGAGTGTACGTGTGCGTGTTGATATTGAGCCGTTCCGGCCTTAATAGATGCTCACTAAAGCACTTGCCCCAACAGCCGGTAAAGGCTATTCGGGGGATCTTTGCCTTTGTGCGTATTATAGGTATGGGTGGAGCGGTGGTTTAGTATTTAGCGCATTGCGCTACGAACCCAGTGCCATAAGTTTGATTGCCGCTCACGGCTAAAATCAATGGCAAATATCTGAACCGGTGGTGGGCCTTCCCTCGATCGACTCGGCCTTAAATGAGTACCTGGTACCGTGTGTGTATGTGTGTGTGCCGTGTGTGTGTGTACTAAACAGCACCGGGGATAACAAGCAGCCCCTCGTGTGCTGTTTCGGCCTTCATAGGCGCTCACTAGCAGCACTTGCCCCAACAGTCTGTTAAGACCATGCGGGGATCTTTGCTGTATGTATCTGTGTTTACATGTGTGAATGTATTTTTGCTCCCACCCCCATGGGGTCTGATTGAGTAATGACGCGGCCGAAAGCCACGAAACGATTAATGGAACTCACACCCCCGCATCCTCACCCCCAACCCCTCGCTCACAATCACACCCACGGGGCTCCTCCTGCTGGGACGGGCTTCCGCGGATTTTGGCTTCTGCGGATCTATACTCCAAACCGAGAGGACCAGGCCCCTAAACTATTTAACTTTAGCAAATGAGACTGTGCTAGCCTCCCGAGTTCTCTCACCCGGTTAAGCAAATACACTTAGAACTTTACAGATTTCTTTTAATCGATCACGTCGTTCGAGAAACATTGCAGGTGGAATTTTACATCTTGTACAAATGCAATTCTCAATACAATGTTATTCATATAGCATCGCTTTGCACAACATCAGTGCCTCGTCATATATATTATATAATGAGAGGCTGATCGATGCCGGGTTGCAGTCAAAGAATGGATTCCTCCTGTTCAACCATGTTATGTATGCCCAGAGCGGTCCCGAGGACACGTTTAATCTGGGTTACTGCCCCGGGCCCCGCGCTTTGGGGGGTTGGGCACACGCTTCGACGTCATGGTGTCAGATGTAATACTTCAGGTTTAGTTTGAAGGCGTCGGGGGCCCCACACGGTGTCATTTGCCCTGGGGCCCGCATCCCGCTGATAAGAATCTGGTAATTGCTGCTTACTTTTGGAAGGAGTTGGAGAGACTGCTGCTGAACTTGAGAGCGTGCCACGAAGTGGCAGGACCATCCCATCGTCCCCACTAAAACAGAGCACCTGCCTGGGTATTTTATATCATCAAACACCCCGTCCCATCAACTCTACATGACTAATCGGGTGGTTGTGGGGAGAGTGTAGGAGTTACAGTACTATAACTTTGCAGTGTGCTCATGACCATATTCGGTTTGGCGGCAGATGTCTGGTATTATCTTTTCATCGGCTGCCTAACGCTGTGGAAGCTACCTGGCCTGTCGCTCAATAGAACGCTCTGGGTGTTCTCGGCTACAATCACGCCCTCTCTTCTTTATGCTTGGGAAATGTGAACGCCTTTTACAGGAACATCTGCGCTAGCTTTAGTGGCGATGGTGTTATGTAGTACGATAAGATTTGGAGTTGATTCGACTTGCCGATGACTGGTAACAATCAATGTCAAGATCGGCCTCTGCAGAGGAGGCTCGTGAAGGACGCTACTGGGCAGTTGGAAGCAGTCGCCCTCCAACAACAACGGAGGGCGGAGGAGCGACGCTCACAACAACGAGCCGAGCGCCGGGCAGCAAAAAACGCGCAAGTTGGCACAGTCGGTGGCACAAGTGGTGCATCTGCCAGTCATCTCGGTCAACTCGTAACACCTGGGTCTGTCCCGTGATCTGTCAGCGAGCCTTCCACACTGCACGTGGCCTCAAGGTGCACCCAGTTTGCCACAAGAGCCGATTTGATGTCAGCGGCAGGTAGCGTTGAATGGCGACAGTTTATGTATTTGAGTGTGCACGCACGTGTGTGTATGTGCCCGTGCGTGTGCGCGCGCGTGTGTGTTTTCAAGAGCGATGCGCTCCGAGCCCTGAGAACTGACGAGTTCGATTCCCAGCCACGGCCCAATATCAGTGGCGATCTTTTTGAACCTGTTCTGGCCGTCACCTTGGTCGACTCGGCCTCGAAAGTGAGCATACCGGGATGGCAAATGTGACCGGGCGTGGATCTGGCCACACCACCCAGTCGTGCACCGTGCGCCAACCTCCATAGGTGCTCACCGACTGCAGTCTGTGTTTGCGAGCTATTGGGGGTGTGTGATGGGTGGGGGGGTCTTTGTGGCGGCTCGGCTGCAGTCGCGTTCCCACGTGCATGCACCGCATCCTCTTAAGTTATTTCCGGGCGCCTTGCCCCCCCCCCCCTGAACCCCCCCCCCCCCCGTCTGAATCCCCCCCCCCCCTGAATTCCCCACCCCGCGCCGATACGTGTACATTCCACATTGCGTGAATAAAAGCCCCGTGTACAGACAGCAGCAGTGGTTTGCCTGTGTCATCATCTCTCAGCGGCTCTCGACTTTATTTATAGCCACCTTAAGAGGCGCAATTGACGAGGCCCCATGGCCACCTGGGGGCCTCTTTTGCACGATCTCCTTGTTAACGCCATCTGCTCGCTTCAACAGTGAGTGGGGCGGTGGGGGGCGTTAATGATCCCGTGGCGTCATTCGCAAAGCGGAGAGGCCATTGTGTGCCGGCGTCGTGGCCCCCTCCACGTTTGAAAAAAGATTACGCGCAAATTATTCTAATTAACTATTCTTAGCAAGTATAACCCCTCTACTGCAGAACAGCAATCACAAAAAACTTAGCGGCTTCCTCCCGGAAATAAGTGGATGGTACTCAGGCTTTTCTGTGGTAAACAAACGTAATAGCAATACAATAATACGAAACGATATAACCACAACAAAATGCCCTCTGACGCAAGGGAGACCTCAGTCACGGAGACAGGTACGAGAACACACGGAAACAATTGCACAATACGTAAATGAATGCATCAATCGTCTTCCACGCCAAAGGAAATAAACCGTTCACCTGCAAGCAACGTGACACAAACGGAAATTGAGTTCAAGCAGGGTTCGAGCCCTCGGGACACAGGCTCGCCTGCACCCTGCACCACCATACCGTTCTTGTGGCACCATCCAAGTTCACATTTCATTAGCGGTCTGTCACTGTCAGGGTGTCACACCCCCCCCCCCCCGACACACAACATCTCGCCGTGAGATGTTAACTCCCTCGCCTGGTATGCAGGTGGTCGTGGGATTCGATCCCGACCCTGACGATATTTGAAGTTTGCATGATCTCCCCGTGGATTTCTTGTTTCACCTCTGCATTTAGAAGCAACGTGTTTGGCTGCGATACATTTCCACACGAACTGCCACTTCGTCGGACTATAATTTGTGGCCAATTCACTTCTGAAAAAGCGCTACATAGCTCAGTGGGCTTTACCTGGAAAAAACAATTTAGTTTTCGTTTTAAATAGCTTTACCCGCCCCCACCACCCCAGCTCAACTGGAGCCCAGTCTGATGACGCAAATCCGACCCGGTTCAGAATCTGAATCTTTACTTAGACTGGTAAAATCCGATAAGCTATGAAGATCTTTTTCACAGATATCCAGTAAGAGGCGCGTCAGAAAGTTACAGCAACAAACGATAAAACAACCAATAGGAGTGGAAAGTGTTCGGAAAGCTAAGCAAGTCACGATTTAAAGCTTTCGTCACTGCAGGGATTCATCTTCTTGGTTCTTTCGGTAAAGTCACGTAGAAGGGAAATAATAAAAATAATAAAAATAAAACATAATAAAATAATTATCACGACGTTTCGGCCACAACGCATTTCAGACGCTGTCTCCCCGACATACCTGGTCTTCACCTGAGGACGGCTGCTTGCGTTGTGGCCGAAACGTCGTGAGAATTATTTTATTATGTTTTATTTTATTATTTTATTATGTCCCTTCTACGTGACTTTACCGAAAGAACCAATAAGACTAAGCAAGTCACTAAACATTTTATATATATAATTAATGCATCAATCGTTTTTATATATATATTATATATATATAATGTGGTTGTAACACACATGCCCCCTGCATCATCATCATCAGTTTGTGGAACTTTGGGACCAGGTCCGGAGGGTCTTGGGATTGTGGGACCTGGATTCCGGCTCCCGGCTCTCGGGGTTGCCCAGGACAATTGGGAGCGGCCGCGCCCACGACTCACGACTCACGACCCACGACTCACGAATCGTCACCCATCGTGAACGAGTGCGGAGATTGCAACGGCATTCCTCCCAAACAACTCCCTCTACCCCCTCCAAACAACTCCCTCTACCCTCTCCAAACAACTCCCTCTACACCCTCGGCGCAAAGAGAACACTATAATCCCCATGGTCTCCGTGTCTCCCCATGTCTCTCCATGGGCTCCGTGTCTCCCCATGTCTCTCCATGGTCTCCGTGTCTCCCCATGTCTCTCCATGGTCTCCGTGTCTCCCCATGTCTCTCCATGGTCTCCGTGTCTCCCCATGTCTCTCCATAGTCTCCCCATCTCCCCAAGTCTCTCCATGGTCTCCGTGTCTCCCCATGTCTCTCCATGGTCTCCGTGTCTCCCCATGTCTCTCCATGTTATCTGTGTCTCCCCATGTCTCTCCATGGTCTCCGTGTCTCCCCATGTCTTTCCATGGTCTCTGTGTCTCCCCATGTCTCTTCGTGGTCTCCGTGTCTCCCCATGTCTCTCCATGGTCTCCGTGTCTCCCCATATCTCTCCATGGTCTCCGTGTCTCCCCATGTCTCCCCATGGTCTCTGTGTTTCCCCATGTCTCTCCATGGGCCACGTGTCTCCCATGTCTCTCCATGGTCTCCGTGTCTCCCCATGTCTCTACATGGGTCACGTGTCTTCCCATGTCTCTCCACGGTCTCCGTGTCTCCCCATGTCTCCCCATGGTCTCCGTGTCTCCCATGTCTCTCCATGGTCTCCGTGTCTCCCCATGTCTCTTCATGGTCTCTGTGTCTCCCCATGTCTCTCCATAGTCTCCCCATCTCCCCATGTCTCTCCATGGTCTCCGTGTCTCCCCATGTCCTTCCATGGTCTCCGTGTCTCCCCATGTCTCTCCATGGTCTCCGTGTCTCCCCATGTCTCTTCATGGTCTCTGTGTCTCCCCATGTCTCTCCATGTTCTCCGTGTCTCCCCATGTCTCTCCATGGTCTCCGTGTCTCTCCATGTCTCTCCATGGTCTCTGTGTCTCCCATGTCTCCCCATGGTCTCTGTGTCTCCCCATGTCTCTCCATGGGCCACGTGTCTCCCATGTCTCTCCATGGTCTCCGTGTCTCCCCATGTCTCTCCATGGTCTCCGTGTCTCCCCATGTCTCCCCATGGTCTCCGTGTCTCCCCATGTCTCTTCATGGTCTCTGTGTCTCCCCATGTCTCTCCATAGTCTCCCCATCTCCCCATGTCTCTCCATGTTCTCCGTGTCTCCCCATGTCCTTCCATGGTCTCCGTGTCTCCCCATATCTCTCCATGGTCTCCTTGTCTCCCCATGTCTCCCCATGGTCTCCGTGTCTCCCCATGTCTCTTCATGGTCTCCGTGTCTCCCCATGTCTCTCCATGGTCTCTGTGTCTCCCCATGTCTCTCCATAGTCTCCCCATCTCCCCATGTCTCTCCATGGTCTCCGTGTCTCCCCATGTCTCTCCATGGTCTCCGTGTCTCCCCATGTCTCTCCATGTTCTCCGTGTCTCCCCATGTCTCTCCATGGTCTCCGTGTCTCCCCATGTCTCTCCATGGTCTCTGTGTCTCCCCATGTCTCTCCATAGTCTCCCCATCTCCCCATATCTCTCCATGGTCTCCGTGTCTCCCCATGTCTCTCCATCGTCTCTGTGTTTCCCCGTATCTATCCTTGGTCTCCGTGTCTCTCCATGGTCTCCGTGTCTCCCCGTGTCTCTGGCACTGTCTCCGTTCCTACCCACGGTCCGCTGGTGGTGATGGCAGGTGGCAACTACTAATTTACACTCACGGGAGACCTCTTGCAGTGCGGTACTGGGACCCGGGTGGAGTGTGAGGTCAGAGTCAAGGGTAGTGTTAGAACACATGTCAATCCAAACGGGTTACTTCGTGTTCTTGTACAGGGAAATTGAGTTTTCAGGTCCATACGGCGTACAGCCGTTTCAATAAGGGCAAAAAATGGGTGGTGGGGGCGGGCGGGGTGGTCGGGCCGGGCGGGCGGGGTGGGGGTGGTGGGGGCGGGCGGGGTGGTGGGGGGGGGGCGGGCGGGGTGGGGGTGGTGGGGGGCGGGCGGGGTGGTGGGGGCGGGCGGGGTGGGGGTGGTGGGGGCGGGCGGGGTGGTGGGGGCGGGCGGGCGGGGTGGGGGTGGTGGGGGCGGGCGGGGTGGTGGGGGCGGGCGGGGTGGGGGTGGTGGGGGCGGGCGGGGTGGTCGGGCCGGGCGGGCGGGGTGGGGGTGGTGGGGGCGGGCGGGGTGGTGGGGGGGGGGCGGGCGGGGTGGGGGTGGTGGGGGCGGGCGGGGTGGTGGGGGCGGGCGGGGTGGGGGTGGTGGGGGCGGGCGGGGTGGGGGTGGTGGGGGCGGGCGGGCGGGCGGGGCGGGGGTGGTGGGGGCGGGCGGGGTGGGGGTGGTGGGGGGGGGGCGGGCGGGGTGGGGGTGGTGGGGGCGGGCGGGGTGGGGGTGGTGGGGGCGGCTGGGCGGGGTCGCCGGTTCCGCCCACGTGCCTCCCACGCTCTCAAATTTTCCCGCCAAAAGTTCGCGTGACGTCATGTGCGGGTGACGCGCAGGGGGGAGGGGGTGACGGGGTGGTGACGTCACTGCACAGGAAGTGAAGCGCGCCCCGCGGAGTCGCAAGGCCGGAGGCGACAACGACTCAGCACTGCAGCGACTACTCAACTTCTACTAACATCGTACAGCTACTAACATCGTACAGCTACTATCTCATCACCACTACTACTACTGAGGTAACAGCAACACACACTGCTGATGCTGCTCATATACTCGCACTCCGGCAACTTGACCACAACTTCATGTGACGGCGACAACTTTCACAACAACAACTATACTACAGTACAAAAACGATACTACAACAACTTTACTATAACTACCAGACTACTATTACTGATGTAACAACACAAACTACTGCTGCTGCTATGCTCACACTCCGGTACTGTAACTTCATGTGACGGCGACAATTTCCACAACAACTACTGCAGTACAACTACTATACTATTACTACTGTACTATTACTACTGTACTATTACTGAGGTAACAACACACTACTGCTGTACTCATACGCAGGCAGTCTATGCTGCAACTTCATGTGACATTGATAACTCAGAACTACTACAATACAACAACTATACTACTACAACAACTATACTACTACAACTACTATACTACAACTACTATACTACAACTACTGTACTATTACTGAGGTAACAACACAAACTACTACTGCTGCTATACTCACACTATGTTTCTCTAACTATACTGCAACTTCATGTGAGGGCGACAACTTGGACAACTGCTACTACCACTGTAGTGCAACAACTATACAACTACTAGACTACTACTACTGAGCTAACAACACAAACTACTTCTCTACTCTCTCAATGAGACTGCGACAACGTCCACAACAATTATACTACGAAACAACAACTATACTACATAGTGCAGTGCTGCTACTGAGGTAACAACAACTAATACTGTTATGCAACTTAATTAAAACTACGATAATTATACTGCAGCTATAACCGAGGTAACAACAGAACTAAACCACAATTACAGCGACGACAATAACACAACTGTGCAACAGTTATCACTTCAACTAACTACCACCAATCTTCAGCACAACTTGCTGAGGTTACCTACAACCACTACAACACCTACCACAATAAAACCACACTGGACAATAACCACAACTAAACAAACAACCATAACATCATCACGGCAGCAATTATCGCAACAAATACAACCACACCGACCAACAAACTGCCCCTACAACAGAATCCTGATATTTATTTAATCTGCAGGAGGAATCCGATAAGCTATAAACCTCTTTATCACAGACGATAGGAGTGCAGAGTACAAGAAAGGTAAACAAATCGCCCAAACATATTCAAATAAAACAAATAAACAGCTCTACTACACTGCAGCAACAAAACTACAACAAACTACAGTACTGTATTATTAAAACCACATGACACAACCAAACTGCAACTATAATCACAACACTACAACTAAACAATAAACGATATTAGCCACAATACAACAACGCAATTACACAGCTGCATTAGAGAAACTACTACCACTCTACATCTCATCACCACAGTACGCCTTAACAACACCACAACAACGAATAATACATATGAATTAGATTATTAAACAAGCACGTCTGCAATCGCGGCAACTTCACAACTGCAACGACACCTCTGGATGGAGAAGAACCCCTCCTCGGGGTCTCAGGGGGTTCCTCATAGCCTCCCCCCCCGGTATCCAATTATCCGTAGGTCAATTGGGGGGACCTGTTTACCCGCTCAAATCTCAGCCCAACATCATCGTCGTCGGTGCCACCAACGCTTACTGAGTCGATAAAACAAGTACACGACCACCACACTGACAAGTCAACAGGCAATTTGCTGTACGGAGAGCCTGGCCTCCGCCATGGCAATGTGGAATTTCCGTCACTGCCTCTCGGTCACTAGTAGGCTTGATTTGTATGTATGTTGAACGTCTTTCGCACCGGACGTAACCGATCGTGCTAATTGGATGTGAATTGTGGCATAGTGGTAACACTTGTTGCTCACAGCAAGAAGGGTCCTGTGTTCTGCATAGGTTTCCTCCGGGTTCTCTGCTTTTATTCCATAGCTGAAAACATAGAATTTAATTGGGGCTGACCAAACGTTCCAATGCAGACCCCCTCCTGAAAAAAAATGTCTTACTCAGTGTGGCTTTCCTGGGTCAATAAGTGATCGTTAACTGCGCTCCCCACTCGTATGAACGGTTTGATGGGACCCTGTTGATGCTATCCTGTGTTGACAGGACTATCACGGGGCCTGACACCTCCACAATCGTTCGTTAAAACGTGTAAAACTGATCCACGTGTGAGAATTAAAATTCTGGGTCTGCCCCCAAACCTCTCGGCAGGTACGCTGGAGTGAGCAAGGCTGAGAACCCCCCGCTGCTGCTGCCTTTTTCAAGGCCCCATGAGCCTCGGCTGCTGCCTCCACTGAGCCACGACTTCACGTGTGGAGGAGGAGGCGGAGGAGGAGATGGCAACTGTCGGAGAGGGAGGGAGGGAGCCAGGGCTGACGAGGCAGGAGAGCGTCAACTCTGCAACCCGGCGTGCGTGGGACACACACAGACACAAAGACAAAGATCCACCGTATAGCCTGTAACGGACTGTTGGTGCTGTTAGCGAGCACCTAATGAAGGCCGGCACAGCACACGACACACATACAGACACATATATATATACACATGCATGCATACTTACACAAAGACATGTAGACATACACACACAAATATAGACAAAAGTCAGCTGCACATGCATACATGTACAAATACATGGTAGACATAGACACACACAGGTCCATAATACATACACAGACAGAAATATACATGCACAGACACATGCGCATAGGCACAATCAGGGCTTAATTTATTACTAAATATTTTCCGGCTCACTGGGCAACTTGGAGGTAGCACGTGATTAACTGCCACAGCTATTACGAAGAGGCATACTGGATGTGGTGCACCGGCTGAGGACATATAGGGCAGCATGTTTACCACTGTGCCACCTCTCCAGTACACACACATGGAAAATTGCATACACCTCTGCACACACAACCTGCACCCCATCCCGTAAGAGCACAGTGCTCTGTCAGTTTCTGTGTGTGGGGAGCGGTGGCATGCTGGTTTCCGCACTGAACTATAATTTGCTTTGATTGCGGCAAGCGCAATGTGAACTATGTGGAATTCTCTTGCGCCTCTGCTGTGAAATCTACCAAGTCCACTGCACCTTGGCATGTTGTTTGAAACTTTGCTTTGCTGCCTAACGCAAATCACTTTGGCTCTGCGCATAAATTGAGTGGATACGCGTTTCTGCGCATAAAAATGAATAGCACATAAATTAGTTGAATTTATATGCGGTAAGTTAATTCACCAGCGGTTTTGCGCAAGTGAGCGAATCACATACACACCACCATCTCTCATTAACTCCCTCGCGCAGAAACACAAGACAAAAGATTCGCCATCCAGCCCACACAGACTTTAAGGCAAGTGCTGATCGTGAGCACCTTTTAACGATGCACGAAAGGGTGATGTGGCCAACACCACACCTGGTCACCCTTACGTCTCAAATGCTGATGTTTAAACACCACATCAGGTACTCATTTAAGGCGGTGTCAATCTAAGGGATGCCCATGACCAATTTAGATATTAGTCGCTGATGTTGGTCGTAAGCCGGAATTGGGTCGCCGGATTCGTAGCGTAGTGTACAGACCACTTCGCTTTTCGCACACTCTCTGGCACTCTCTAAAAAAGACAAAGATCCCCTGTATAGCCTGTAACAGACTGTTGGGGCCAGTGTGGTTAGCGAGCACCTATAAAGGCGGGCACAGCACATGAGGGGGTGGGTAGCCAGCACCACGCCCGACAGCTTTTGTCTCCCGAGTGGCGATATTTGCACACCGCACCAGGTACTCATTTGAGGCTGAGTCGACCTAGGGGAGGCCCAGGACCAGTTCAGACAATCGTCACTGGTTTTCGCCGTGAGCGGGAATCGAACTCGGGTCGCCGGGTTCGTAGTGCAGTGCACAGACCACCTCACTATACGCGCACTCTCCGATACCCGTCCCATCGCACGCGCCCTCTAACTCCGCCGTGTGTGTTGAGAGATGCGAGCCCATCTGGCCCAAGCCCCTATGTTGTGCCCTCGCAAAACTTGTTGAAATGACTGTGTGGTGTCTGAGGCCACTTTGCATTGTGTTATTTCGGACTTTTTATAAATTGACCAATTTGTTTCGGAATCTGTTATCGTCAAATTGTGCCTCCGGTAACCACAGTAATTGTGTAATTTGTTCATAGGCGGTCGGTCGGTGTGTTTGCAGCACTCTCTAAATCGGTGCGCGTGTTTATGTTGGTGTGTGCGTGTGCCTGCATAGATCTGCTTTAAATTACATGAGCAGCGACGCGATGATGAAGAACAAAGTCCAAGTCGTGTTAGATCGCCATTGTCCTTCGGGGGTGTGTGAGGGAGAGACCGTGTGCGAGAAGAGGCGGCCGGGCACGAAGTGGCCACAACCACCCACTTGTGTGCAATACCAGCCCTCATATAGTGCTTATCGTTACCGACAGCAGCTATAGGGAGATTATTGTTTTTGAGAGTGTAACCGAGTGTGAGTGAAGGGATGGGGGTATGTGTGTTAGCGTGTATGAGTGTGTAGCAAGGTGTGTAAATGAAGGTACGAGTCAATAAATGGAGGGTATGTGAATGAGATTGACAAAGTATTATTGAACGGTTGTACAAGCAGGAGTGAAGGGGTTTTCTTGTGAGTGTTTGTGGGCGAAGGGGTGAGTGAAATTTAGCAAAACCTTAAACTCAGTGATTACACCGATATGAATTGCCCCAATAAATTAAGGATGTCTCGATTATTGTTCAAACAGGGTGCTAACACTGGTTTGAAGAATTAAAGATGCATTTGTCTTGTCCCAGGTGTTCACGAAGTATGTATGTATGTTGAACTTCTTTTACACCGTATGTAACCAACCATGCTAATCGGGAATGTGGGGGGAAGGACAACAAAGCATTCTCCCTACTTCAGTGCTGAAGTCGGGTGATTATCCACTGGGAATAGTGTCCTCGACAAAGTGTAGGTGGCTATGCTGTCTTTCTGTGAATATAATTTCTTTCCAAAAATATCAAGGAATAGAAAATTGCACTCACGAGCCTCACAAATTAAACAGCCCATAAAGCAATGCTGAATTGTTAGCTGCGTCTTCATGCTGCGCGCCCTCAAAGCCAGTTTAATAATGAATTGGAGAATAATGACGGCAGCATTGGATTATGCGTTCCTGAATTCGCTAGAGCGGTGACACGGCCTAGCAGTAGCACGTTCGTTGCTTTCTGCAGAGGTTCACAATTCGATTCCAGCGGCTACCCTGGTTATTACTGCAGGTGTATTAACCCGAAAAAAACATGCGCCAACTGCTTCACAGTGGACATTAACGATTCGCAAGAGTAGACTTTTGTGTGCCGGAATCATGGTCCAAATTTGCAAATTTTTTAAACATTACCCACAATTGAACTAGAGTCATGAGACAACTTTTGGCTGAAAAACAATCATGAGACTCAATTGACTCCTGGGTAAACAAGATAAATATTATCCTGGTTTTTGGTGGTATCTGGTTTTTCCATTTTATTTATCTTGCTTTCCATATTTGCATGTTTCACGGTTCACCTTTTGGCATTCTCTGGTTTGACACTGGTGAGACTTGGCACAAAAGAAGGCTGTCTCGTATATAGACCAATCCGTTTCAAAGACAATGCATATATTACAGAGCATGTATTTTATTTTTTTGCATTTTCACCACAAGTGCTTGTGGCTAATGCAGACAGAATTCATTGCAAACGGTTTATATTTGGTGTTTGAACATCGTAGCACCTGTTTTATTGCCAGAAAGGGTAAAACCTATTTTTTTCATAGAAAATGGTCTTCTTGGAGATAAGTGTGTTCTTCATAAAACATATTTCAGGGCACCCAACCTATGAATTAACCAGATATTTAAAGTACACACTGTCCCGTCCTTCATAGATGCTCGCTAACAGCACCTACCCCAACAGTCTGTGAAGGCTAAACGGGTCTTTGTCTTTTTATCTTTGTGTGCGAGTAGCGCTGGAGCTGTGTGTCTACTTGGCGGATGACATGCCGGTGCCACTAGTTGTTGAGAATGGTGCAGGTGTCACGGCTGGGGAGCTGTGCCACTACCTGCAGGAGGCACACGGTCTTCCAACCCTCGCCAACGACGTCTTCGCTCTGTGGCTCATATCGTCACGGCTCGGTGATTCTGCCCACTCCCCCACGTCTGGCCACACCATCTTACTCTCATCAGGGACACGCCACTCGCCTCTCTAGTTTCCACAACATTGTCCATGGCCATTTTGCTCTTCGCCCCCCAGAACATTACATCACGTCAAATACATTGAGGGCATGTCAAGCACAAACAGGCACGAAATACTCAGAAACCAATTTGTACGCAATTCGTCTTTTCCTCCTGGCAACAAAGGATTGAAACTGGCTACATGAAAAAGCAAGAGCCATTTCCCCCTCTGTCCCGACGTACAAAAATGTATTCACTAAAGATTTAGCAGAAGTGGACAAAGGCGTGCACGTCCTCTCCCGCATTCCCCACACAGCGGGGGGCGGGGGGCGGGGGGCGGGGGGCGGGGGGCGGGGGGGGGGGGGATGACACCAGCCGTTATGCCCCGTTAAGGCCGTGCCGGCATCCAGTCACGATCAAGACCCTTGCTCATCTACATTGCCCTCGCTCAGTGAAGCCACTTTAATTCAGCCACTCCACCATCATTCTGCCACACTGCCTTGCAAGGCCACTCCACCCACAATTGGCCATGCCACACTTATTTGGCAGTGTCGCACTCACTTGACCACACCACCACCATACACCACCTCGTGCTCACCCGGTGCTGTTGCTGATGTGGCTAAGGCATAATATCACTCACTCGCACAAAAACATTGATCTTGACCCTGCCTGGCTCGGTCTGCTTGCATCTAAAAACAAACAAACTCCCCCGTCCCCTCCTGAGGTTGTGGCGTGACTCAATGCGTCACGCTGTGGGTGTGATGTCACATTAGTACCTGGTGCGGTGTGTAAGCATCGCTACTAGGGAGACAAAGGCGGTCGGGCATGGTGCTGGCCACCCACCTCCTCATGTGCCATCCCGGCTTTCATAGCTGCTCGCTGATAGCACTTGCCCCAACAGTCCGTTAAGGCTATACGGCGGATTTTTCCTCTTTGATATCACTTACCTACATGTGGTGTGGAGTGATTCCGTGTGGAGGGCCATACTTTACCATAGTATGACTGGCTGTGGAGTGCCGTGGGGATGGTTTAACCTTGGTGTGCCGTGTTGTGGCATGTGCAGAGCTGCAGCTGAAGCCGCGCCACCAGCCGTACCGCCTGTGCCGTCAGTGGCCGGACCTCCTCTACCGCTTCACCGACTGCCCCCTGAGTCACATCCATGATGGTGTGGGCCCCACGCCATGAATACATGCCACAACCTCGGCCCTGGCACCACCATTAACTCTCCTGCAACTCGTAGCTCTGTCCCAAGCCCATATCCTAGCTCTAATCCCAGTCCTGACACTACCTTGAGCCCAAATCTCATCTCTAAATCTACACCTTCTGGTAACTTGAGCTTTATCCAGAAAATGTATTTCTGATTCTTCCAACAAGGGAAGTGACGTCACCAATGTGATGTCACTCCTGCTGTTTTCCCACGGAAAAAAACGGTGACACTTAGCGTCCAATGACGTCACGTTTGTGAGTCCGAAGATATATACAGATACAACATGATGTTATTTGTCCAAGCTCCCAAAAAATATCCAAAATTGTCCTTAAAGGTCCCAAACTCTGAAATATTTAAATACGAAACTCACCCCTAGTTTTATATTCACTCTAAAAAACACCAACTTTAACTGGTATTGGCCAAACATCTGAATGCTGAAAAAAATGTCTGCATATTGTTCAATTGGGATTACACAGCAACAACATCATCCTCTCCTCTGCAAATCTGGCAGGACCCTTCTGAAAACGAGTCTTGATGCTCACTGAGGCTTTTTTGGGTAAACAAGAATATTAATATTACCAATATCGCCCTCTGGGTGACGAAGGGCTGAGATGCGGGCTATTCCTCAGCCTCTATTCCCTTAGCTCCAGCCTCGCCCTGCGGGCTCTCCAGTTGCATGCATCGTGAGTGTGAGGGGCAGCGCGCTCTTGTTACATCAAGGCTTAGTCTTATTACAAAAGCTGAGCCCTCGGCGTGAAAACTTGCCATTTATCATAATAATAGTGCAATTGATAACGCGCGCAAATTTGCGGACGTAACGGCCGCAACTCAGAGGCGCATTGATTCAATCTGTTCTTACGCACTAGATGCACTCGTTCATCCACTCGTGTGTAAATGCGTGTGAGTGCGAATGTGCACACGTGCATGTACACGAGTGTGAGTGCTTGTGTGTGTCTGTGTGGGGAGTGGTATTGTAGCGGTTAGCGCGCTGCACTACGAACTCGGCGGTCCGAGTTCGATTCCCGCTCACGGCCAACACCAGTGACTGATCAAAACCGGTCCTGGGCCTCTCCTAGGTCGATTCAGCCGCAAATGAGTACCTAGTATGATGTTTAAACATTGCCACTGGGGAGACAGATAGCCTGGCGTGGTGCTGACCATCCACCGTCTAGTATGCCATGTTGGCCTTCATAGGTGTTCGCTAAAGCACTTGCCAAAAGAGTATTTAGGCGACAGAGGGGATCTTTGTGTCTTAATGTATCTGTGACAACAATATGTGTAATGTCTGTCTCCCCCCATGCAACTTTATCCCTCTGAGTCAGGGTGTTCTGTTGTGTCTCTATCGCTCGCTGTGTGTGTCTGTCTCCTGCTGTGTTTGTATTATCCACTGTGTGTCCGTGTCTCCTGCTGTGTGTCCTTGTCTCCCCCTAGTGTATATATGTTTACATCTTCCGCTGTGTGTGTGTCTGTCCCCCTGCAGATGTGCCGGCTCTCATCTACCGCAGGAACGTGTTTTTTCCCAAGAGCCGAGAAGCAGAGGTAAAAGCCACTGAGCCCATGGTGTGTTTTGTGGTTTGTAGGCGAGGGTTGTAGCTTGTTGTTATTTGTCTGCTTGGTCACCCAGTAACGTATCGAGACTCTCTTTCAGGAAGGTCCTGTCAAGTTTTTGCAGTAGGGGACTATGTTGCCTTGTTTTTTCCCCACTTGAGTTATTTGCTAGTAACTTCTTAGTATTGGTGTGTTTTGGCCAATATCAGTTACGTTGTTTATTTAGCTTTGGGAGGTAACTGGAGAACCTGGAAGAAACCCGTGCAGAATAGGCAGAGAATATACAAACTCCACACAGAAAGTTGCCTGAATTGGGAATCGAACCCAGGATCTTCTTGCTGTGAGGCACAAGTATTACCACCGTGCTGCCACCTTGTTGCCTGTAGTGTTTTTAGACAGCCTTAGCAGAAGCTGGGCAACCTATCCAATGAAATTTTCAATTTCAAAACGCTGTCTGATTCCTAGAGAAAATTTGCATCTGACACTTTCATAATGAAAGTTAACTGCCTCTTGGAAAATATATATTGCCACTCTTCAGTTATATTGATTTCCCTCCTTCCGTCCTCACCCTGCTGATACCAATTGTCCCAATTTAGACATGGTTGCAATTTGGGGAGGCCTTCATCCAGCACTGGATTGATCATGGCTGATAATAATGAGCCACGTGATGGTGTTAGAGAAATTGCTTTTTGCGTTGGAAATTTTTGAACAATTCCAGTCAAAAGCGTGGTGAACAATTACCATTATGGCACTTGCATAACGGGCCCCGGTTATAGCCTTGGATGCGATTATGTAATTTTGCGGGTTGTGCCATTGTTGACTGACTGCCAGCACGGGGTGTGTGGGGGTATTTCGGGGTGGGGGGGGGCATAGTTGGAGGCGAGGGAGGGTGGGGGGCCACGGCTCAGCGCCCGCGCTCGTGTTGTGTACGGTGGAGGGAGCTGGCACAGTTGACCACGTCCGTTCGTGTGTCTGTAATCGCGCAGGGGGTAGCGGTAGTCCAGTGGTTAGCATACTGTGCTACGAACCATCGGGCATCCGAGTTTGATTCCCGCTTAATGGCCAACATCAGAGACGAGTATATGAACCGGTCCTGAGCCTCCCCCAAGGTCATCCTTAAATGAGGACCTGGTGCAGTTTGTAAGCATCAGCACTGGGGACACAGAGGTGGCTGGGCGTAGTTTCGGCCACGTCTCCCTCATACGCCGGGCCAGCCTGAACAGGTGCTTACTAATAGCACTTGCCCCAACAGCCAGTATGGTTACACAGGGGATCTTTGTATTTCTATGCTGCATATGCGTATGTATAAAATTAAACATTGCATTTGGCTGACTGTTGGCAGTGGTCCACAAATACAAATCAATCTCTCAGTATGCCTCAATAACCTTGCCTCCTAACAGAAATTTTTTTGTGGTGAGGCACTTTTATGATGAATATGGAAAATTTTTCAATTGTGTATGTGCACGTGTTTTTTGCGTATATATACGTTTGGTGTGTGTATTGTTACACGCAGTGCAGTGGCGTTGGCACACTGCGCTATAAAACCCGTCACATGAGTTTTATTCCCGGCCACAGCTAAACATCAGTTGCAAGGATCACAACATGTTTTGGTACTTAAGCGAGTGTGGTGCAGTCTGTAGACAATTAGCACTGGATAGACAAAGTTGGCCAGATTCTGGTGTGTCTTCACCACCCTTTAATGCGCTGTGATGGGCGTAATAGGTAATCTTGAAGAGTGCTTTCCCCAACAATCCATACTACTGTATTGAGATGTGTGTGTATATATATACAGTAAATTAGTGTATATATGTGTGGGGGGGAGAGAGCAGTGGTTTGCACGCTGCTCTATGAATCCGGCGACCCGAGTTAAATTCTCGCTCACGACCAACACCGGTGACGATTAGCTGATCCGGTTCTGGGCTTCCGCTAGGTCTACTCAGCCTTAAATGAGTACCTTCTGTGGTGTGTAAACATTGCAACTGGGGAGACAAAGACGGTTGGGCGTGGTTCTGACCCCACTCACCCCCTCATTTGCCGTGCCAGCTTTCAAAGGTGCTCGCTAACAGCACTTGCCCCAAAATCCTGTCAAGGCTATAGGGGAGGATCTTTGTCTTTGTAATAATATAAACGCGTGTCAGTGTTTGTGCAGAGTCACATCCAAGTAGTAGTTCCCCACCCCCGAAATGTTTAGACAGCCGTTGCATGTGATAGCCGAATTGTGAAGTTTTCATAAATGTTAAATGATAATTACATTATGAATTCTTGATCTGTGCTTCATTTTAAGTGCATTAAATATCATACATAATGAGAAACTTAATTATATGCACTCAATTTTTTTCTCTGAAACGAGTGACTTGCTTTTACAGTGGAAATTATTCATCCCCTTCAGTCTCTTTCGTTGGGTGTCTGGGTGATCCACCGTATTAATATGATAGTGATGTAGATGCTTACCCCGAGCCCTCATTACTTTGAATAGTGCATTGTCTTTGAGCTGTACGCCTTTTGGCGTCCTTTGGTCTGGCACAGTTTGAGACGCTCAAAAGAAAGCGGTCTCTGGTGTGGACTAATCAGTTTCAAGGACAATGCCTATATTATCAGAGTGTTTTTGTTTGCATTCTGACCACAAGTATTGTGGTTAATGCAGACATGATTCCTTTTAAAATGGTGTCAGTTTTGTTGCCAGAAAAAAGGGGAAAACCTATTATTATATGTGTGAGTATCGTATGTCCGTTTGTGTGGAAGTGAAGAGCTTGGCTCACTATGCTACAAACTCGCTGCCAACATCAATGACGAATACATGAACCGATTCTGGGCCTGCCCTACGTCGACTCGGCCTGAAACGAGTGTTATGTGTAAACATCAGCACTGGGGACACAAAGGCAGCCAGGTTAGGTGCTGGCCACACCATCCCCTCATGTACCTTGTTGGACAAGCATAGGTGCTTACTAACAGCACTTACCCCAACAGTGTGTTCAGGCCATAGGGGGATCTTTGTGTGGTTGACTTTGTGTGTGTGTATATATATATATAGTTTTGTGCGTGTCTGTAGGTGACAAACACTGAGATGCTGGGGTTGCTGTACCGCGAGGCGAAGGGCAACGTGTTGGCCGAGCGCTACCCATGTGACCCGGCTGTGCTCACGCAGTTGGGCGTTCTCACCTGCGCCATCGAGATGGGCCCTCACGACCCCGCTCAGCACACCGCCGCCCGCATCAAGTGAGCGCCAGCCTCGGCTCTCCCTTCCCCCCTTCCGCTGAATTCCGCCACCGACATCACTGCTTCAACTATCCACCATCTCAGCGCTTTCCCCGTCACTAAGTTACGCGTCCCTGTAAGTGCTGCTGTTTATGTAATTAATTGGACCTTCGGAGTAAATTCCTACTTGTTCAGGATCACTGGATTTGGCAACCCAAGCACTTAAATCTCTGATTGCTTCTCGCCGCACCCCTCCGGTTAATAAACGGGATGATCGCGCGAGTCGCGCCACTCCCCGCGTGGCAGTAAAAGCCATTACCGCAGTCATGGTGTCAGTGGGGGGCGGCAGATGCAAATTCTGGAAAACTTCAATAATTTTCACTTTTTCATCCACTGCATTTCAGGCCAGCATGGCCAGTGGTCAGAAAAGTATGGGGGGGTGTGGCAGGCTGCCTTGGTGGCTGAGCCGTCGGCGTACAGAACAGACTGCCACGAGACCTGCGCGTCGGTGTTGGCCTTGGTGGTGGTGACTGATGGGAGCCACGTTCACACGTGTTGAACTTTTCCCCCCTGTGCCCCAGAACATCGTTAAGCGAGTACCTGCCCCCCCACATGTGCAAGTCCGGCGGAGGGAGCGGAGGGGGGCTGCTCTCAGGGCTGCTGTCTCGGGGGACAGCGGGAGGGGGCAGCCGCCCCCCAGCACGGGAGCTAGTGCTGCTGCAGGGCTACGAGAATCTGTGCAGGGAGCAGGGCGCAGAAGCCTGCACCCAGCGCACACCCCTGTTCATGCAGTACCTGCGCATCTGCCAGCAGCTGCCCTACTACGGGTGAGACGCCCTACCATGTCACCACCCTACTACTGGTGTGACACCCTGATACTGGTGAGACGTCCAGCCACACAACCACCATACTATGTGTGAGGTGTGAGATACTGCCCAGCCATGCCTGGCCACACCACCCTACTCAGGGTGAGGAATCATGCTCAGCCACAACCCCTCCACAGGTAAAACACAGCCTACCCTGCCTGGCCAAACCACCCCCAGGCCAGCCAGGGGTGTGGTGTGAAGATTATTTACATTGTCGTTGGCCCCTGTGCAGTTGCACGGCCTGCACACTTGATAGCTATGCAACCGACTCAACGGTGCACAAGAAAATGGGTTCGTGCCTGTGACTGGGTTTCCTTTAGGCAGTATGAGGAATAACTCACGTTGCTGCATTCAGAGATGCCCTTTGATACCTCTAAGTTGAGTATTATCTCAGAAATGTTTCCCCTTAACTGTCCACTGGCGATGCACGCTGAGATTTATGTCATGTCCACAGTGGCGTCCTGGCTGGAGCGGCTTATGATTTGATGGAATTTGTCATGCGAGGCTCATTTCTCCTTCATTCTCATTCATTGCGTCCCCAATGATACGTTTATAATGAATGCGCTTAAATCGTCCTCTAATACTTTCAATAAAATACAAAGGACAAGTACATTTTTATTGTGGTCACGAGTAGGGTGCATTGTATTTGGAAGGGCATATGCATTTTTAGCCATCCTATTAATTTTCCAAATGAATTTAGATGAATAAACAGCGCTTGCAAAAACAAAACATCTCATTAGAAACTGAGTGGGTGCATGCGAGCGTGTCCTTAGTGTCTTGAGACTATATATAAACTGAATGTGCTCGTCAATAACACATAAAAAACATATGTGCTTTGAAGGAGGGTCGTTGCCCGAAACATCACTTATTTTCGTGATTAATTTTAAGGTAGTGCTATTCATGGTGTTTTGAGATCCATTATTTAGGGGCTCCTTACGCCAAATAATTTTAGACTGAGTTTGTGAGTGCTTAGTGTGCGAGTGTGTGAGTGTACATTCCTTACATGTATCCAGTGTAGGCCGCTCATTGATATAAGTAGCAGTGGATAGACCATGGCACGTGTCACACAGTGTGACAGTGTGTGTTTAGTTTGTGTGTCCTTCCCCGCACCTCCGATTAGCACGATTGGCTAGGTACGTTGCAAAGGAAGTTCAAAATACAGTGAAGGAAAAAAGTATTTGATCCCCTGCTGATTTTGTACGTTTGCCCACTGACAAAGAAATGATCAGTTTATAATTTTAATGGTAGGTTTATTTGAACAGTGAGAGACAGAATAACAACAACAAAATCCAGAAAACCGCATGTCAAAAATGTTATAAAATGATTTGCATTTTAATGAGGGAAATAAGTATTTGACCCCCTCTCAATCAGAAAGATTTCTGGCTCCCAGGTGTCTTTTATACAGGTAACGAGCTGAGATTAGGAGCACACTCTGTTCAAATAAACCTACCATTAAAATTATAGACTGATCATTTCTTTCTCAGTGGGCAAACGTACAAAATCAGCAGGGGATCAAATACTTTTTTCCCTCACTGTATATATAAGCGGCGAGCGGTATTGTCGCGGTTAGCAGGCTGCTCTAAACCAGGTAACTTGGAGAAAACCCTTGCATAACAGGGAGAGAGCATACAAACTCCACACAGAAAGGCGCCCGAGTCAGTAATCGAACCCGAACCCAGGAGCTTCTTGCAGTGAGGCACCAGTGTTACCACTGACACCTTGCTGCCATACCTTAGCAGCATGCCTTATGGACATTCCCTTTTGGATGACCTCCAAAATCCTTCAGCTCAGTGTTATTGAGACAGAGTTACTTTTTCTTGGCACAAAGCAGCAACTAGCCAACTTTTAGACACTTCTCTGGGCTTAATTTGGCTCCCTGGAAAATAATACCTTAATCTCTCTTCTGTGAGGAGCTTTGGAGGGTCACCCTAGACAATGTTCTCAGATTGTAGAAGCACATCTCTCCTGTGGGATGGACTGCTTGTTTATCATCTTATACATATTTCCCGTATACATCCATTTTTAATCTTAAGGGGATGCAGAGGATCCTGTGTCACACGTTTTATAACCTCTACGCTTGACTCTCATCATGCGCCCCTTTTGCTTAGCAACCTTCTTAAGCTCAGTGCAGGATGTAGCTGCTAGCTAGAGTTTTTATGAGCAAATATCTCTAGTGCTATGATTTGTGGCCTTGTCACTTGTAAAAAGTAAGTTAATACCTCGGTGGGCTTTGCCTGGAAGGATGGGGATAGTTTAGTTTTATTAGTATGTTTTTGGGTGATTTGTTTGCTTTTACTGTACTTTGCACTCCCATCGTGTTTTTTGTACTGTTTGTTGTAACGTTCTCACCTGCTCCTACTGGACATCTGTGAAATAGAGCTTTATAGCTCATCGGATTCCACCAGTATAAATATCTATTCTGATTCTGTTCATGGTTTATGCTTGCGGTTACACAGGGCGGTGGCGCAGCAGGCCACCCTGGTTATTACTACGGGTTTATTCATCGTCTGCCTCACAGTGGACATGAAAAAGATTCTCTGAGGTCATTCGAATTGTGCAGGCCATTGTGTGCCGGGGTCATGATCTCAATTCTAGATTTGAAGCTTTCGTGACTGCAAGGATTCATACTCTTAGGTTTTTCGGTAAAGTCACGTAGGTAAAAAATTAAGAATAAATAATATAATTGAAAAAATAATAGAAATAAAATAATAAATCACGACGTTTCGGAGGCAACACAAGTCTCCGTCATCAGGTGGGACCGTCACAGCTAGATTTACTGTCTCAGCTAGATTTACTGTCTCTTTTCAATTATATTATTTATTTTTTACCTACGTGACTTTACCGAAAAACCAAAGAGCATGATCTCAATGTTGCTAAGTTTGAAAGATAACACCGCAAATTACTTAATTGAGATGACTCATGTAGAAACATTGCTCCCTACTGGCAAACTATATCCTCCTGTCAAACAAAGTGCCTTCAGTAAAGCCCCTGCGCAAAAGGAATGGGGCATATACCAAAAGTACGTAAAATACCAAAAGTACTTATTCTTGATATTGTTCATAAAAAATATTTCTGTTAACGTACAGGGATTTACACGGCACCAGCTCGACTGACCTCTGACCTCAAGAATGACGTGCCTGCCACGTGCCTGAGATGTAGTTCGCAGAGCTGCCTTGTAGCTCCTCGATTCTGATGCATCTCTTGTCTGGCTCCGTTATGTAACATTCTCCCCATGAACCTCAGAGGAGCAGATAGTTTTAGATAAATGTAAGTTTATTAAAAAAAAACTATCTCTTGAGTTCATCTTCAATATTGTAATATTGCACAAGGCAAGATAGATGTTTTCGCTTGATATTAATTTTTCATTATAATGTAATCTTTTATTAGTTTTACTTTATATTGCCTCGGGTACATTTCCTTGTAATTTTATACTAAATTAATTGTATGTTATGTAAGTGTTGGACATTCATGTAATTGTTATTTTATGTAGAGGTCTCCGAGACACCTTTATTGATGGGAGGTGAGCTGGATACATAATTAATGATTTATTGATTGATATATAAGAGTGCGTGCATATGTGTGTATGTATATGCGTGTGTAGGTAAATAGGGTATGATCCTGTCTATATTTATGTGTATGAGGGTATGGTTCTGTCTGTGTATATGAGTGTATATGGGGGAGCAGTAGTGCAGCTGTTATCGTGCTGTACGTGATGGATGTGGCATGCAGGGTGCTCAAATATCTTTATGGTCACTGAAATTGATCCGTGAATTGGGTATTAGGCTTTAGGGGCGGTTTTTTAATTCTGTCTGTGTGTGTATATGAGCATATGATTCTGTCTGTGTGTGTGTATATGAGCATATGATTCTGTCTGAGCGTTTGTGAGCGTATGTGTGAGTGTATATGAACGTATGATTCTGTGTGTGTAGGTGTGCGTTCTTCTCTGGCGAGGTTGAGCGGCCCGCAGGAGGTGGGATGCTCCGCCTTGTGGGAGCCGGCCGTAAGCCTGTGCTGGTCGCTATTTCCCTCGAAGGCATCTACATCATTGACGTCAAGGAGAAGGTGGGGGCCTCCCAACTACTACTGGGTCGATTTAAGTCAATTCAAGATCAAGATGTCATTGTGTCCAAAGCCATTCGTGCAACCACCACCTCGGCAAACACTTTCTACTCTCCGGCAGATCCCACAGTTGCTGCACAGGAGACGGTCTCCCCACCATCTTTTTCTTCAACTCTCATAAGAGACCTTTAGGCTTATACATATACCCACAGACTCGTACAGAGACCCATAGATCTCTTGGAACCACGTCCCACCATTTGCTCTTAGGTTGGGTTTATGGAATGCCTGTCTTGGTAATCGGCCCTTCCCCATCCTGCCCACATATCTCACGTGGTGCTACTGGTTCTTTGCCCAATCACATCTACACCACTTCCCTGCCGTGTCTCCCCTTGGCGTGCCCTCTCAGCATGTGCTGCTGGGCCTGCGCCACACGGAGCTGTCGTGGGACGTGACGGGCCCCGACGAGGAGCACCCGGACGACGCCCACGCGCTCTGGCTCGAGTTCGACGGCACCGAAGACGGCGCTGCCGTCAACCGCCTCCTCAAGGTCTACTCCAAACAGGTGCTGCCCCTCACCTGCACCCGTCCATTAACCTGTAAACTTGCCTAGCCGCTCACCTGTGCCCTCAACTGTACACGTACCTACACGCTCACCCGTGGACTCTCCTGCGCTTTTAGGCCGAGCTGATGAACGGGATGATCGAGCACTGCATGGAGCTGAGCCACGCGACGACCCCTGCCACACCCTTGAATTCGGTGGCCCCCGTGACCCCCGTGACCTCTAGCGATCCCGAGGAGCCCGCTGTCATTACGGGCCCCTCCTCGGAAGGAGGGGCTCCCAACACCGCCAGTACCGAGGCAGGGGCCAGGGGGCGCGGGCGTAGGGGGAAACTGCAGCGGCAAGAGAGCGTGCTGGACAGTCGGGTGGAGCAGCTGTCCACCATCTCATATGTGGACGACGGTGGGTCATGGGTCCACTGCTGGGTGGACACCAACACACGGATGTGGAGGGTACACGCGTGCTCCCACCACACTCGGTGTACACACGTAGTATACACCCATGTACCCATTCGTGTTGCGAGTGTGTACTTGTGTGTGTGCCGTGCGCTCACACCACCCCGTGTGCTTGTGCATGTACACACGTGCACACACACACTTGCGTGCCGTCGTGTCCGCACGCTCGCTTACACGTGTACGTGCGTTCACGCTGCCCCTGTGTGCCTGTGCAGGGAAGGAGCTGCGGCGTGTGAAGCCACGTCGCGCCGCCTCTTTCTTCTCGCGCCAGCCCAGCGTCTCTGGCAAGGTCTATGCCACCGTGGCGGCCACGGATGGCACCGGCGACGGGGCTCCCTAGCGCCTCCCTCCCACACCCGGCGTGGCCCCCCCTCTCCCCCTCCCCCCCCAACTTCGCACACCGGTGGATGTCGGGGACAACCGTCACGAATGGGCACAGCTTGCCTTGAATAGACGGGAGCCGTCGGCTCCACCTGCAACACCGGCTGATAATGGCAACGACAATCGCACGCGGCGAGGCGCGCGTTTCCACACCCGTGCCGGCGCCATCGCCACTACCGCCACAGCTAGCTCGACCGCCTCCAACGCCGCCACTGTGCTGGGCTCATCCCGGGGTGGGAGCCGCGGTGATTGATGGGTCATGGTGGCAGCGTTTACGATGTGCGGCGCAATGCTTAACGTGGCAGCAGCAACACGAGACCAATTATATGAATGTTTACACAGCGACTGTCTGGGCGATGACACTCCCTCCGACCGCGACGGCCGGGCCCCAGCACGACGTCCCTCCTGCGCCTCTCCCACCCTCCCCCCACCCTCCCCCCACCCTCCCCCACCCTCCTCCCACCCTCCCCCCACCCCCCCCCCCACCCCCCAGCGCGTCCACGCGTGAACAATCGGCCGCCCACCCCCCAGTGTTAGCACTCGTTGTTTTCTACGCGTTTTGAGTAAAACTTTTGAGCAGTTGTCAGCGCTTTTGGTGAGTTCTGCGCTGGCTCCGTTAGCAACAACGGTGTGCGAGCGGTGGGGGGGAATTCTCACGGTTATCACCGCCCGTGATTGTGCCAAATCACCGCGACAGGTTCATGTCTGGAATGGGGCTCGCTGGCTTCGTGTCGGGTGACGACGGAGCTTAATTTCTCACTGAATATTTTCCCGGTCGCTGGCAGACTGGTGTGTAAGGTGGCACGTGACTGGTAACCACAGCCATAGCAAGAGGTAAACTGGACAGACAAAGCTGAGACCAAGTGTCTTTGTGGAAAAGTGTGTGTGCATGGTGTCTGGCTTTCGAGATGGAGAAGCTATCCAGAGGGTGGGGGTCTCCTGAATTTAAGTAATGGAGGTTGTGTGCTTCCTGTTTTTTCTGAATCAGGAATTTAGGTATGGAAGGGACCCCCCAGGCGTATGTTGAACTTCTTTCGCACCGTACGTAGCCAACCGTACTAACCGGAGGTGCGGGGGAAGGACAACAAACTAAACACAAAAAGCGGTTAAGAAATTAGTTTTCAATATAGTCCCTCTGAGGTAGGTATATATGGATCCAGGGGTGGTGTGTGGTTTTTCTGAAGTGGGAGTTGGTGTGGTCCTCCCTGCGCTGCCCTGAGCTAGCGGAAGGGGTGGTGTTCGGTGCACCTCTGCTTTATGGAGTGCGGATGGTGTGGTTCATGGGGCCCCCCGAGTTAGGGTAATGGGGGGTTGTGTGTGTGGATGCGTGCTCCCTCAATCTCAATCCTGGAATCCCCTGAGCTCGGGACCACAGCAAGGCGGTGGCCCCAGGTCCCCCTCCCCCTGCTGGCTTGCGTCTCTGCGCCACTCGGTTGAGATTAACTCCTCTCTCACGCCTCATCGCATTTTATTTCTGCAGCAAGAGAATTTACAACCAAGAATAAAACACGGCACAGCTCTGTACAAGCCCTAACCCCACCCGCCACGCCCTACCGAATCCATTATGGGCCCCGCGCCCAACCTCATCCGCCCCCTTCCACTGCCCAGGTGCCCCCCGAAAGACTCGGAATCGGCATCGATGATCGCAGCTCCCAGCGGTGTCGTTCACGCCGCGGCCGTGACCGACTTGGGATGAAATCTTCACAATCTCCGCGGGGCCCCTTCACTCGGAGGAATTTATCTGAGGATGAGTTTCATCCGTGAAGAGTTTTTAGCTGGGATTATTATTTGATTAAAATTGTAATAGACTACTTTTTTTGGTTGTCGATTTTAAAAAGTGACGGGGCCACTCTCGTGTACTTTCTGCCCGACGAAGGCAGGAAACCCCCGATAAGCCACGTCCAGCGTGACACGACTAATGGTGTCAATTACTTAACAAAGCCCCGCTCGTCACCATCTGTCCAGTGGCACACATGAGGACAGAGGTGAGGCTTTTTGCACCTATTTTCATGTACATGTAATCCCATTAGCTGAGTAATCGAGCCAATAAACTTGATAAAGTAATCTGTTAAATAATCAGATTACAGCTCAGCTCTGTGGTGTAACTGCGAGGAGTTGTGCTGCCCCAGCGCCTCCCGTGGTCTGCAGCACCCTGTGGACCAGGTCTCCCTTGGAGTCCCAATTGCTGCGGTGCTGGAGAAAGTTTCGTAAGGGTTGGGAGAAAACTCACCAATGTCACCTCCCCCAAACCACAACGGAAAACCACCCAAGTGATGAGAGCGGTTCAGTGACTGATGGTCAGGTGAGTACGACCACTTGTGTGGTTCCACCTGACCCTACCACCGCTGGCGCACCCTGCTGAACCGTGGGGGTGGGGGGCTACAGCAGCTGGCGCACCCTCCAACCCTCAACCGGCAGAGTCCACAGCCCATCACTGGGCACAGCCGCTCATCCATCGCTCGTGCTGCTTCGGTTCCCCCGCCTGAGTTGGCAAACCGCCTGGGAGCTTCGTCGCTCGGCCGCGCTGATGGCGCCCTCTCATGGCGACGTGAGGCTCAGCGGCTGTGGTCGTGAGACGTGGGATCCTGGGGGGCACCCGGGTTCCCTGATCACCCCCGGGAGGGGGATCCGAGGGTTAGCAGAAGCGATCAGTGGTACTTCCCCCCGCGACGTGCCATGGAGGGCAGAGGGTAGTGGATTCCCAGGCGCTCTGCATGCTCGGCCTGGGGAGACAGGTACCATGGGTGAGACAGGGATCATGGTGAGACAGGGATCATAGACACGGGGACCATGGAGACACGGGCATCATGGGGAGATACGGGGACCATTTTAAGACACGGAGACCATGCTAAGTCACGGGAATCATGGGGAGACACGGGGCTCATGGGCAAATACGGAGATCATAGACGCGAGCGCCGCCCAGCTCGGGTTACCACCTGTCCAGGTTTGACTCGGACAGTCCGGGAATTGGCATCTGATTTGTGTTCAGCTGGCAGGAACTGATTTGTACCGAGACCTGGTTCGATTTGTAGTCGGTGCTCACTCATTCACTCGCTCACCCAATCACCCCCTTTACTAGACTTTCAAGCACTGCCGCCTATGACAACCAGGTATGCATGGCGAGTCACCCTTTTGAACACGAATTGCAGACTCAACCCCCGTCTGTCTTCCGAGGTTGGGCGCATTGCGGATGATTTCCAAGTACCGTACGAGATTGCATCAAGGGTAATTGGTAGCTTGTCACGTGCTGCCCCATACATTCATTGGTGGTGGGCATAGAACGTCTATTGCAATCGTAGCCATCTCGCTCGCGTGTGATCATCGCGCCCCCTGGTGGCCGACCACCTTCACGCCTCTCGCTGTACGCGACTCAAAAAAATTAACCCGTAAAAAACAAAGTTTTTCACTATACATCCTTTATATGCGTGTTCAATGGGCCACAACCCAGCCCACATTGGTCTTTAAAACGGGCGGCTAGAGTCCTCTCGTCCTCTGGCTTGAGATGGCTGCCACCTATGAGCCAGATGATTGCCTGCCACCATTAAGCAATTGGTAATTAAATATAAAAAAAAAAATCCTAAAAAGTGTAAAATTTTGGAAAAAAATTTCACGAAAATAAATTGTCACGCACAACGAGTCTGTGTGCAAAATGTCAGCTCGATTGGATCACGGGAAGTGGGTTAAAAAACGACCGAAAGATTTGCACGGTCGTAAGCAAGCAAGCAAGCGAACTTAATATAAAGGATTTAAAAAGCAGCAATTCGCCCGCCCTTCTCAACTCCCTTCCGTTCCTCTATTAAATCCTCAACCTCCTATCTATTGCCCATTCTCTTCCTTCACCCTCCACTCATTCCCGTCCCTCCCCGATAGCCCTTTCGTGATCCCTAAGTACTCCCTCGATTGCTGCTGTCACTCATTCCTCAACCCCTGCAGTACACCCCCGTCGACTCCAGCATCGTGTCCGTTCTGTAAGCGATGTCACGAAGCGCCTTAAGTGAAGGCGCTCTTTCCATGAAATGTAATTATACACGTGTCAGTCCGAATATAATAAATCTAAATAACGGTGTTTTACCCATCCCCCCCGCTGTTGTGTCGTCGACAACTGGCATCTAATTCCCCGAAACAAACGTCACGAATGGAGATAAAAGTTACAGAGAACGATAGAAGAACGTCGTAAAGAAGGCGATAAAGTGGGGCTCAAGATTAATCCAGTTCGAGCACAAACAAAAGTCACCCACAAGAAGTTTGCGAGACACATGGAGATATTTGTCTAGAGGGGCACCAACTGGACAATGAAGCAGAATGTTAGTACTTGGGACGGCTATCGTGAGCTGACTGCGATCAAGATGAAAATTACTGATTGGTCATTACACACAGCAGCAATCGTCGCTCACATGGCCATGAGGAATGGCAGCCCAAACTAACAACAGAGTGGCGGCCAAAGCAAGAAACGTGCCCTGGAGGACGTCAAATGCGGAGATGGAGCGACAAACGTCAGCTCTCGCGCGAACCCCAATCGGTTCGATGCATTACAGGACCGGGACGAATGATGGCGGTGGCTTGGGGAGGCATTCATCCAGCAGTGGATAGCTCATGGCTGTTGATAATGATGATAAACTTTTTATTTTACCAGCTAAGTCCCACTGAGTTATAGAAATCTTTTTCAGAAGTGACCTGGCCGACAAATGATACTTCAACAAAGTGGACATTTCGAGCAGCCACCACGTTCGTTCAAGGCAAGTTGGGTCTAAATGTGGAGTGAGGACCCGGAGAAAAATCCACGGGGATCGAGAACACGCGAACTCTCTCTCAGAGCGCCTGCATCCCTCTTGCAGAGGTGGAGTCAACGTCTCACCAACGGACTCCCCGGGGTCCCGCTGCGCGCTCGCTCACCTTGCGCGCTCGCTCACCTTGCGCGCCTGCGCCTGCAGCGTGGAGAGGTGGATCCCCGACCCCGAGGCGTGCAGCGGGGGCAGCGGGGGCAGCCGCAGCGGGGGGGCGACCCCCCCGACGCGCAGGCGCGACAGGGGCAGCCCGTGGAAAGCGGAGGCCGACGAGAAGCTGCTTTCGGGGGGGCCGCCCCCCCCGCGGGGGTGCGACACCGGCACAGCCAGTCCCCCCTGCGCCTGGAACCGCTTCTGCTGGAGAATGTCGGGGGGTGGGTGGGGGGGGGGTTGTGGGTGAGACGGAGAGATGCAGAGTGGTGGTGGCGGCGGTGGTGTTTGTGCGAAACGAACGCGCAGGTTTTCTAAGCCGCTATTTTGATTCAAAATAGATTTTTGGGTCAGGCAACTTAATGATCCGGATCAATCTGTGTCGTGAGACCCTCCACCACGCGACATTGCCAAACAAATTAAATCGTCACGTCTACAAGCGGTAGAAAACGCTCCAATTAATTATTACTGTTTCGGCTCACCCCGGTGAGTTCAAGAACAAGTCTTACAATCGGTAATTGTACGTTTGCTATTCGAGCACTCGGGCTGTCGCGAAGGTGCCGTGTTTACAGCTCACTCGAGCCGACTGCAGAGCTGGCTCCGAGTTGGTGACCGGCAGTGAGTTCCACATAGATGGGCCACACACACCGCAGAGGAGTGTGACTGAGTAGGTGGGTGAGTAGGTGGGTGGGTAGGTGAGTGAGTGGGTGGATGGGTTATTGGACGAGTGAAGAGGTGAGTGGTTGAATGAGTGGGCGAGTGAGTGAAAAAGTGATTAGTTGGGCGAGTGGATGGGTGAGTGAGTGGATGGGATCGTGCGTAAGTGAGTGAGATGGAAAGTAAGTGGATGACGAAGTGGGTAGGACATGTGGTTGGCCAGTGCACTCTCCCCTTCCTCTCCTCGTGTTGCTTGTCGCCACCTCAGACGAGGAGGTGGCAGTACAGCAAGCGGGGTTCGTGGACACCGTCTGTGCGGACCTGTGAGTGCAGCTGACCCCTCGTTTGCACGGTGGGAGTTTTCTCCGGGCCCGCCAGTTTTTTTCCCCACGTGTAAAACCACTCATTGCAAAGGATCGTCCAAACATCCAGACGTGGCAGCATGTACGTGTGTATGTGCCGAGCTTCTTTCGCGCCGTACGTAGCCAACCGTGCTCATGGGAGGCGCGGGGGAGGGCAGAGCCCTCCTGAACAGGAGTCTCTCCCAGACAAATACGCAGCGTTCCTATTTAAATAAGACGTTGGCAAGATACATTAACGATTACAAATGGCCAAAGCAATTCAATTTAGCCCCTATCTCGTGATTGAGATGCATTTACCAATTACGTTGGATTGTGTAAGATCAATATAAATTAGAAACGTTATGCAACTAGACGTTTAAATAACGCGTGATTTAGATGCTGTCCCGTGTGCACACGCACCCGGCGGGGTATGGGTTTGGCGGCGCTGATCCAGGGGAGCGACGCAGCCTTCGCCGGGGGGTCCTCCTTTAGCCCCAATGGGGACAGGGGGCCGTAGACCCCCATGGGATGGCGCTCCGGATCCCTGTAAGAGGGGGCAAGGGGAGGAGGGCTCCTTGGTTACGTGGATCGCTGGCATGGAGGAGGAGGAGGGGGGGAGGTCAGGGCAGTTGTGGTGGGGGGCTAGGGTTAGGGAGCTGGGGTGGATGGAGGAGTTGGGTAGACGAGGGGGGGGGCTGTCGTCCTCAGCATTGCCAGGAGGACGCTGCAGCTCCACTCCCCAAGTGCTCTCAGCGTGGGCGGCTCCCACAAGGAGAGGCACGGGGAGGGAGATGGGGGAGGTAGGGAGGGTGCCCTGCCTCCAGCAGGTAGTTGATGTGTGTGTGTGTAAGTGTGTGAGCGTGTACGTGTGTGAGTGTGAATAAGTGTGTATTATTGCTCACTAATAGCACTTTCCCCAACAGTTTGTTGGTATGAGTATGCATGCGTTTGTGTATGTATATACATTACGTGTGTGTACCTCTGTGAAAGGAGCCGTAGTGCAACGGTTAGTGCACTTCACTACGAACTCAGCGACCCGAGTTCGATTCCTGCTCATGGCCAGCACCAGTGAAGATTATCTGAACCGGTCATGGGCCTCTCCTAAGTCGACTCAGCTTCAAATGAGTACCTGGTATGGTGTGTAAAATCATTGTCACTAGGAAAACAATAGCGGTCGGGCGTTGTGCTGGCCACCCATCCCCTCGTGCGCAGTGCCAGCCTACAGAGGTGCTTGCTAACAGCACTTGCCCCGACAGTCTGTAAAGGCTATATGGGGGATCTTTTTCTTTGTCTTTTGTGCAAGAGAACACTGTGTGCAAGCTGCCTGACCTGTCAGTACACACAAAGCTACGAGTCCCATGATCAGGAACAGCTGCGTTGGCTGGAAACATTCTGGCTGGTCTGCCTTTGTTCCATTTTGGGTTGAACCAGACTGGATTGTGTGAGAACGTTGCGGGTCCTTGACAGATCTGGACACCGTCCAATCAGTGAGCTCCTCTGGCAGGCGATGCTGCATTCGCTGGATCATATAACCCGTGTGCCACGTGTGAGTGAGTGGTGATGGTGTCTATGTATGGGTGATGTTGGTATGATGTTATGTAATGGTATGATGATTCTCGATTTGAAGTTTTCGTGACTGCAAGGATCCATACTCTTTGGTTTTTTCGGTAAAGTCACGTAGGTAGAAAATATAAATAAATTAAAAATGAAAGCAAATATTTTTTTTATTTTCTACCTACGTGACTTTACCGAAAAAAACTAAGAGTATGGTATGATGATGTTATGGGATCTTAGTGATGTTTGCTGATGATGTTAAGCCGTGCCCTAGCTGTGGCTCGCTCACTGCTGTGTGTGTGAATGATGTTTGTTGTTTGTATAATGTTGGCGATGGTGCTGGCGGTTGTGTGAGCTGTGCCCTATCTGCGCCGACTACTCGCTTGATCACCGCTGTGTGTGTGTGCGAGTGATGTATGTTGCCAGTATGATGTCAGCGATGTTGCTGGCGATGGATGTGAGCCGTGCCCTATCTGCACCGGCTAGCTCACTCACCGCTATGTGTGTGTGTGATGTGCGCTGCTAGTTTGATGTTGGTGATGGATGTGAGCCGTGCCCTATCTGCACCGGCTTGCTCACTCATCGCTATGTGTGTGTGTGATGTGCGCTGCTAGTTTGATGTTGGTGATGGATGTGAGCCGTGCCCTATCTGCCCCGGCTGGCTCGCTCACCGCTATGTGTGTGTGGGTGTGTGGGTGATGTGCGCTGCTAGTTTGATGTTAGCGATGTTGGTGATGGATGTGAGCCGTGCCCTATCTGCGCCGGCTGGCTCGCCGAGCGCACGCCCGTGAAGAACGCGTGCCGGAGCGCCGCCTTGGCCGAGAGCCGCTCCTCGGGGTCGTAGGTCAGCATGGCGGCCATGAGCTGCGTGGCCTCGGCCGAGGCGTGCGGCACGAGCCGGCTCAACCCCAGCCCCTTCTGGGAGGGGAACTCCAGGCCCAGGCCACGGCTCTTACTGCAAGAGGGTGGAGGGGAGGGGGGGGAGTCACGGACCAGAATGACAAAGGGGGGTAATAATGATGATATGTTTTTGAGCTAACAAAATTATGTTTGAGTGTATGTTGAACTTCTTTCGCACCGTACGTAGCCAACCGTGCTAGGGAAATACAACAAATTAAAAACATGGATTGTGTCTCCTTCACTTATCTGTCTCTCCAGGTAAATACATATATAAAGTGTTTTTCTTACGCAAACCAATCGGTTACGCACGGTCTCTGGCAGTTCGCTAGCATTGATTCAAGCGAGCCCGGTTCTGCGGATGAGACACTGTGGGTTGAAACCGCTCCGGAGTTTTGCCTCTCCTCAACCAATGCTGCTGAGGGCCGGCATGGCACGCAAGGAGTGGTGTGGCCTGAACAACCCCCGACTGCATTTGTCTCCCCAGTGTCGTTATTTTACACACTGCACCTGATACTCACTACGACTAAGCCGACCTAGGGGAGGCCCAGGAACAGTTCAGATATTTCGCAACTGGTCATGAGCAGGAATCGAACTCGTGGCACCGGGTTCTTAGTGCAGTTGGCTAACCATTGCCCGACACTGCTGCTCCTGGTCAACGTCTAGGCAGCTGAGCAAACCCACGGGCTGACATGCGGCCGAGCCCGAAGCCTGCATGGGATCGGTGTTTCGCGTCTCTGTGGGATGTTGATATGGCCCAAATGTTGTACATTCGGCCACTTCTTGGTTCTTTCTCCCCGACAGATCTGGTCTTCACCTGAGGACGGCTGCTTGCGTTGTGGCCGAAACGTCGTGAGAATTATTTTATTATGTTTTATTTTATTATGTCCATTCTACGTGACTTTACCGAAAGAACCAAGAAGATGAATCCCTGCAGTCAGGAAAGCTTTAAATCGAAAAATTCGCCCACTTGTTGCAGAGGTTCGCGGTTCAAATCTGGCAGGCCACCCAAGTTATCACTGCAGGTGTAATTTACTCGATACATTTACGCAATTTGCTTCGCAGTGGACGTTAACGATCCAGTGACTTCATTTAGACTTGAAACATTATCAGCCAATGACTCAATTAGGATTACACACTGCGAAATCCCCCCACCCTCCCACCTCTACTGTGACGCTACTACACGCTGCGTCTGTCAAACGCAGCAGCGCCTTCCTGCTGATCGCCCTGCGCGCTCCAAGAACCACAGCGCCAGACGTTACAACAACAACCACATCATTATTATCGCTCTAGCATTACCGGGGTTGTCTTTTTTTTTTATCTTGGCCGCGCTCAATTTCTCTGCCGGGGCGATCGGAACTTTACGAGCAGAACGTAAATCCCGACGTGCACGGCGACGAGGAAAGATAACGAGATGCACAACAACGAGAATGTGAACCAAGTCGCCGACACGGGCGCCAGGCAGCGCGCCGACAGATGAACGAGAGGAGTTGAAAAGCTGGGCGGCAGCGCAGCGGGAACACTCGTGCCTCTCAGCTGGAGTAGTCTGGGTTCGGTGCCTAACTAGGACGCCTGCCTGTGTGGAGTTTGTATGTTCTGCCCCCCCCCCCTCATTCCCCTTGTTCTGCATGGGCTTCCTCCAGGTTCTCCAGTTTCCTACCATAGCTGAGAAGACAAACCGTAGCGCTGATATTGGCCGAAACATCCCAATGCTAGAAACGTCACCTGAACATTATTGGGATCACGCGCAGCTTCAAACACCCCCCCCCCACCCCCTCCATCCCTCCACCCCCTCCACCCCCCCACCCCATCCACCCCCTTTACCCCCTCCACCCCCCCACCCCATCCACCCCCCACTCCCTCCATGCCCCCACCCCCTCCACCCCTCTACCCCCTCCAACCCCCCACCCCCTCCACCCCTCTACCCCCTCCAACCCCTCCTCCACCCCCCACTCCCTCGATCCCCCCACCCCCTCCACCCCTATACCCCCTCCATCCCTCCACCCCCTCCACCTGCCAACACTTTTCAGAACCCTCCTGAAATAGAGGTGAGACCCCAGTAAGGCTTTCTTGGGTAAACAAGCGGAATGTTAATAAAATAATAAAATAAAATTGTGTACAAATACAGAACAGCTTTTGTTATCCAATATACACAGATAGACATACAACTATTTTCATAGAGTACACACACAACGACTATGATAGACAAGGCAGACAAAGATTCCTGCATGTAACCTTCACATACATTTGGGGCAAGTGCCGTTAGCAACCACCTATGAAGGCCGGCGCACACACCCACGCTGCACTATTGTTACGGAGTGCACACAGACACAGCTATTGTTATGGACTACAACAACGATCGCCGTTCACCACTCAGCGGCGGTGATGTTGCCACGGCGATTGCGCCAGGCTAGGTGCACTTTGAGGCTACGTAAAGTGTCGAAGGCTCGCTGGCAAAAGATGATGGGACGGACCAGAGACAAAGATCCCCCGTGTAGCCTTAACAGACTGTTGGGGCAAGTGCTGTTAGCGAGCACCTATGAAGGCCGGCAAAGCACACGAGGGGGTGGGTAGCCAGCACCACGCCCGACCGCCTTTGTCTCCCTAGTGGCGATGTTTACGCATCGCACCAGGTACTCATTTGAGGCTAAGTCGACCTAGGGGAGGCCAAAGACCGGTTCAGATAATCGCCACCGGTGTTGGCCGTGAGCAGGAATTGAACTCTGGTGGCCAGATTCGTAGCGCTCACCGCTACGCCCCCGTCTCCACGCGACAGACCCCACGTAGACGCACGCACAGGTAACACGATTGGGAAATGCGTCGAAAACGAATGCGTTTCAGGAAACACAGCAGAGAGTAAAGTGGGAAAAGCAAAACAAGTCGATAAAACACAACAACAACACCAGGACGCATCGCCGCGTCTCAGGAGTGGTCCACGTGACAGGGATCGTGTCACCCTATGGCTTCTGCTTTTGAGCCGTCTGTCATCAAGTTCTCTTCTTGTGGGCCACGCGGATCTCTTTCTCTCTCTCTCTCGCCCGGGTCTGAGCTCCTGTCTCCTCGCATCCCCAGGTCAAGTTTCAACATTCACGTTTATTTAGTTTCACCCGGTTGAGAACTCAAGAGACCCGCGGAGTCGACGAGTGGGCAGACCGACCGGGTCACCGAAATGACAAAATAAAAATCGTAAACTCTTTGGTTCTTTCGGTAAAGTGACGTAGAAAGAAAAATAGATTAAACAATAGCATGCGACGTTTCGATTGCAACACAAGCAATCATCATCAGGTACAAATGAAGGAGAAAAAAACATAGTAAACTTAGAAATCTAATGCAATACAACACAACATACAAGTCGTACAACAAAGCAGCACACGAAAAACAACCAACTACAAATCGTAGACAATTCTACGAATACATATTTGTGTTTTTTTGGGTGAGGCCACGTGGTAGTTTTTATGCCGGAATCCTTGGCATCAGCCCGCCACGACCCGACAGGATTGTCACATAAACGTGACATAAATCACCTTACTCGACCTCTAACCCTGCAGCAACACATTCAGTTCAGAGATAACTGATCGCCGTTTACTCTGTAAACAAGACACGGCGCTAATTGAGCCAGCTGACAGAGTTATAAATCAAGCGCACCGTTCTCAGCCCGCTAAACTAATACAAGATAACGCGAGCACTCAATGCGATGGAACCTCCTCCTTGTTAACCCCGTGGACCTGGGGACTTCTATCCTGCGACCTCGCTAAGATTCCCCGACTCAGCGTGGCCGATATGGGTCCTGGTGTTCGGAATTAAATAGGGCCCGGCTGGCCCCCCCTTACCCCCCCCCCCATCTCCTACCCCCACCCCCATCCTATGACACCCCACCACCACCCTCTTCCAAGCCCAGCGACCGTGGGGGTCCCAGTGTAGTTTATTGGTTAGCATAGGTGAGGAGTGCAAAGTCCAAATGCTCACAAAGCCAAGCAGCCAGCAGCAAACAGCACTACTGTATTATCAAAGTTGTAATAGATACGGGTGTGGAACACGTTTCTTGATTTGAGCCAGGATCTTCTTGGTTCTTTCGGTAAAGTCACGTAGAAGGGAAATAATAAAATAATAAAAATAAAACATAATAAAATTATTCTCACGACGTTTCGGCCACAACGCAAGCAGCAAATTCATTCAGACGCTGTCTTCCAGACAGACCTGTTCTTCACCTGAGGACGGCTGCTTGCGTTGTGGCCGAAACGTCGTGAGAATTATTTTATTATGTTTTCTTTTTATTATTGTATTATTTCCCTTCTACGTGACTTTACCGAAAGAACCAAGAAGATGAATCCCTGCAGTCACGAAAGCTTTAAATCGAAGGTTGAGCCAGGATATTGTTGTAAGAGCTTGGGGAGAACAGACGACGATGGTGATGATGATAGGAGGGGATTTACAAAGTGGAACGGTGCGAGGGAGGAGGCAGAACGAGAAGTGCCGTGACTTGCAGTGTGGTGAGTGGGGTTGTAAGTGAGTGAATGGGTGAGTGGGTGGATGAGTGATCTGCAGCGTTGTGGTTGAACACAGTGCGGATGAAACAGTCACTTTGGTTGCACCGCCTGCACTCTGCACAGCCGCGCCGCTGCTCAAAGTCCGCGTTTCCATTACAACCTGTTCCGTGAGGCCCCGAATAACATTACACTTGGCAGCAATGAGCTATTTAGCCGCTGCTAATCTCTCAATTGTTCTGTGTTATCGTGCCTCCGGATTACGACTGGGTCGCTTAGTGCTTCGTTAGGTCGTGCCACCACTGAAAGCCGCTATCAGAAATAAGGCTGCAGTCACGAAAGCTTTAAATCGAAATTTAATGTTGTTGTTGCTGAGGGGTTGGGCCTTGAGGCCAGGTCCACATCTCTGCGATCTGCTGCGTAACCAAAACTCGCCCTCAAATCATCGCGGTAACTTGACGCTGTCTGCAACTGCTTTGTCCACATCTCGGCGAGTAGTTGCGTGACGAGGGGCGTGGTGTCGGGGCGTGGCTACACAGTCTAGCCACGCTCCTTTACCGCATAGCCTCTACCCCCCACCACGTCTCGGATCGTAGCAACCAATCACAGTTTCGATTTAAAGCTTTCGTGACTGCATGGATTCATCTTCTTGGTTCTTTCGGTAAAGTCACGTAGAATGGAAATAATAAAATAATAAAAATAAACATCATTAAATAATTCTCACGACGTTTCGGCCACAACGCAAGCAGCCGTCCTCAGGTGAAGACCAGGTCTGTCGGGGAGACAGAGTCTGAATGAAAAATGACGCTGTCTCCCCGACAGACCTGGTCTTCACCTGAGGACGGCTGCTTGCGTTGTGGCCGAAACGTCGTGAGAATTATTTTATTATGTTTCATTTTTATTATTTTATTATTTCCAACCAATCACAGGTCGCACACGTGCACTTCGTGATGGAACGCGTCACGGACGTGCGCAGGTGGCACACGCTTGAGATATCGTCAACACGTAATCAATTCTGTTGTGTGCAACCAAGTTGCATGCAACCCGATTGCTCAGTTGCCCTCCGCCCCCCCCCCCCCACCTCTTTGAGAGGTGCGGGTGGCGAGGCTCGGGGGGGGGGGAGTTGTGCATGAGGCTCTCACCTCCTCATCTTGTTGAGCAGGGCAGCGGTAGGGGTTCCCAGGACCTCGTGGATCTTTGAGATCTGATCCACCTCGTTCGCTCCCGGGAAGAGTGGCTGCAGACTGAGGAGGAGTACATGGCAGAGTGAAGGGGTGTGCGTGCACAGTGTGTGTGTGAGTGGGGAGTGGTGGTGTGGCGGTTAGCACGCTGCTCTACGAACCTGAAAACCCAAGTTTGATTCGCGCTCATGGCCACCAGCAGTGACGATTATCTGAACCGGTCCTGGGCGTCCCCTAGGTCGACTCAACCTCAAATGAGCACCTGATGTGTAAACATTGCCACTGGGGAGACAAAGGCGGCCGGCCGTGGTGCTGACCACCCACCAACTCGTGTGCCGTACCAGCCTTCACAGGTGCACGCTAACCGCACTCGCCCCAACAGTCTGTTGACGTCTACAGGCGGGAGATCTCTGTACAGGTGTGTGCCACGCGGCTCACCTGGTGATCTCGTAGAAGACGCAGCCAGCGCTCCACACGTCCATGGCGAGGCCGTAGTGTCCGTCGGTGAGGAGGCACTCGGGCGCGCGGTACCAGCGCGTCGAGATGTACTCCGTGAAGGGCGGCCGCGCGAATGCGCTCTTGCACGAACCGAAGTCCGCCAGCTTCAGCACCTCGTTCTGCTGCCCGACACGACTCCGGCGTGACCCCGACGACGTGGCGACCCCAGTATGAACCCGGCATGACCCCGGCGCGACCCCGGCGCGACCCCGACGCGACCCCGACGCTCAACAAAAAAAATATCAACAAAATTCCAACATTGAACATGACCCCAAGCATGACCCCAAGCATGACCCCAAGCATGACCCCAAGCATGACCCCAACAAGACACGACCCAAAGCATGACCCCAACATGACCCTGACACGACCCCGACAACACAAAAATCAACATAACCCCAACGTCGGACACGACCCCAGCGTGACCCCAATGAGGAAGCGAGCCAGGGGGGGGGGGCCGTACCCGAGCCGTCCTAGCGCGCGTACGCCCCCCCCCACCCCCTGTCTCGCCCCCCCCCCCCCACCCCTGTCTCGCCCCCCTAAGCGAGCTCGCTCAGCTTGGCCCGGACCGCCGTCGTCAACAGCCGCCGTGAGGCCACGGCATTAAATGTGCGCGAGTGTCCGTGCCTCACCTTGATGAGGATGTTCTCTGGCTTCACGTCGCGGTGGAAGATGCCGTTCCTACAAGGGGCATGGGGGGGGGGGGAGGAGAATCAGGGGGCGGGGGGCAGAGGAGAGGGAATGATGTGAGTGCCTGTTCGAGTAGGGGGATCAGCTGTGCTCACCTGTATGTGCTCACCTGTATGTGCTCACCTATAGTCACCTGTGCTCATTGGTGCATTTTCACTTCAGTTCATTCAACTGTCCTCGCTCACCTGCGAATCATTACCTATGCCGCTCACCTGTGCATGATCACCTATGCTCACCTGTGCAATATTATGTTATCCTTTGTGCACTCACAAACGCTCACCTGTGCCCGTACTTGTGTGTACTCACTTATGCTCACCTAAGCTCACTCACCTGTGCTCACCTGTGCATGCTTACCTGTTCTCACCTGTGAGTGGCTCCCTGTGCGTGACTACCTGTGCTCACCTGTGCATGTAGTCAAGAGAGCGGCACAGCTGCTGCATGTAGCTGCGAATCCTCCCTTCTGGCAAGAAGTTTCTCCGATCTGAAGGTGAGGGGTGGAAGTGGGGACAGGGGAGGGGGTGGGGGGAAGAGGGTTAGGAGCAGGGATAAACACATTCCTGCGGAGGGAGCTAGTAGCAACGTTGGGTTTCTCGGTCAATGGCCTGCAGGGTCAACGGCGGCGTGGTGTATTCCGCAAATATGGCCGACTGTGAGGGCAGGCACAAGCCGGCGTGAGTAGGTTAAACGTTGAGTTTTATAAGGGCACCACGGGGTGACCAGCCCCTCTCCACCCAGCCCCTCCCCACCCTCCCCTCTCCACCCAGCCCCACCCCTCCCATTTTTGGATGCACGACGGACGGACGGACACAATAATCCCATGTGGGCTGGTGTAACCAGGAGGTTCCTACCAGTAAAAAATGTATAATTGAATATTTTCCGAGCCACTGGTTGGTTGATTGTCGTAGAAGACACGTGACTGCCAGCCACAGCTATAGCGAGGGGCATACTGGATGTGGTGTGCAGGGTAAGGACATTTTTCCCCAGATCGCCTGACCCAGACAGACCCCCCCCCCCCACCCCGACTGATATTAAACTCGAGTGAGCGGTCATGGTGAGTTAGTGGTGAGTGAGTGGATGAGTGGTACGTAGTGAGCGAGGGGTGAGTGAGTGGCTCACCTCGGATCAGCTCGTACATGTTCATGTCCATGAGTTCGCAGATCAGCGCCAGAGTCCCCGACTTCTTATCGCTGCCAGAGAACACGTGACACGCGCAGACGCACGGGTGACACGCGGGTAACCGAAGTCGTTCAGTCGACAGGCAGGTGACACACAGTCATCATACCAGTGACACAGGTAACAAGAGTAACACAGGTGACAGGTGACATGCAGGTGATGCGTGCAGGCACTCGGGTGACACACACAGATGCCACGTGCACGCTTAAATACATACTTGTCTGTACAAGTCACTCGATGTGTTTAGAGATGCAGTGAAGGGAGGATGTGAGGATGGCTGGTGAAGGATCATGATAAGGTGATGATGATGTGATGATGGATGATGGGAGGATGTGAGGATGGCTGGTGAAGGATCATGATAAGGTGATGATGATGTGATGATGATGTGATGATGGATGATGGGAGGATGTGAGGATGGCTGGTGAAGGATCATGATAAGGTGATGATGATGTGATGATGGATGATGGGAGGATGTGAGGATGGCTGGTGAAGGATCATGTTAAGGTGATGATGATGTGATGATGATGCATGATGGGAGGGTGTGAGGATGGCTGGTGAAGGATCATGATAAGGTGATGATGATGTGATGGATGATGGGAGGATGTGAGGATGGCTGGTGAAGGATCATGATAAGGTGATGATGATGTGATGATGATGATAATGGATGATGGATGATGATGAAGGATGCTGACAATGGTGTGGTGGTGATGATAAAGATGTGAGGATGGCTCACTCACTAGAGAACCTCATGCAGCTGCACGATGTTGGGGTGGGAGCCGAGGCGTCGCATGGCCTGCACCTCGCGCAGGCCGTTCACACTCTCCTGGCTGCACAAAAACAGCCGGGAGCGGGGTGTCGAGCAGGAGAGCGCACGCGTGAGTGAGTCGGTGAGTAGGTGATTGAGTGAGCGACTGGGTGGGTGAGGTAGTGAGTGGGTAATTGGGTGAATGAGTGGGTGAGTCAGCAGGTGACGGATTTGCCGATTAGGCGAGTGAATGGGTGAATAGGTGAGTGAGTGAGTGAGTAGGTGCATTAGTGAGTGAATTAGTGCATGGGTGAGTGCGTAGCTGCTTGAGTGGGTAAGTGAGTGGGTAAGCGAGTGGGTGAGTGGGTAAATTAGTGAGGGAGTGGCTGATTGAGTGAGTAGCTGAGTGGGTGGGTGAGTGAGTGGGAAAGTGTGGGAGTGAGTGAGTATGTGAGTGAGTGGCTGATTGAGTGGGTGAATGAGTGAGGGAGTGGCTGATTGAGTGAGCAAGTGGGTGGGTGGGTGAGTGAGTGGGCAAGTTGGGGAGTGAGTGGGTGAGTGCGTGGCTGATTGAGTAGGTAAGTGAGTAAGTGAGTGAGTGAGGGAATGGCTGATTGAGTGAGTGGGTGAGTGAGTGAGTGGGTGAGTGAGTGAGTGGGTAAGTGAGTGAATGGCTGATTGAGTGAGCGGATGAATTAGTAATTGGCTGACTGAGTGAGTGGGAAAGTGAGTGAATGGCTGATTGAGTGAGTGGATAAGTGGGTGAATGATTGAGGGAGTGGCTGAGTGAGTGAGTGGGTGAGTGGCTGAGTGGGTGAGTGGGTGAGTGAGTGGGTGAGTGGCTGAGTGGGTGAGTGGCTGAGTGGGTGAGTGGCTGAGTGGGTGAGTGAGTGGCTGAGTGGGTGAGTGGCTGAGTGGGTGAGTGAGTGGGTGAGTGGCTGAGTGGGTGAGTGGGTGAGTGGCTGAGTGGCTGAGTGAGTGGGTGGGTAAGAAGGTGAGAGATCCTCGCCTGTCGTATCGCTGCTTGAGTCGCTTGCAGGCGTAGTAGGCGCCGTCGCGCAAACTCTGGCACTTGAGGACCTCCGAGAAGGTTCCCTCGCCCTTGCGTCCCAGCAGCCGGTAATCTGTGATGTCACCATCATCATCAGTAACATCATCATCAGTAAGATCATCATCAGCAACATCATCATTAGTATCATCAGCATCATAATCAGCAGCAGCATCATCATCAGCAGCAGCAGCATCAGCAACATCATCATCATCAGCAACATCATCAGTATCCTCATCATCAGCATCATCATAATCAGCATCATCAGGAACACCATCAGCAGCAGCATCATCAACAGCAGCATCAGCAACATCATCATCAGAAACATCATCATTATCCTCATCATCAGCATCATCAGCATCACCATAATCAGCATCATCAGCATCATCATCGGCAACATCACCCTCAGCAACATCATCAGCAATAATAGCAATGTGTCGTTAAACCCGCCACCACCCGACACAGCCAATTAGTAAGGTTTGTCACGTAAACAGAATACTGTATAGCCACGTTGTTACTTGTACAGCACACCGGTGTGTTGGAAAGCAAAGCCACAACATTTACAATCTGAGTACGACGTTTCGCCAGTAATTATACCGAGCTTCATCAGGCGACAGCAACATCATCAGCAACATAATCATCATCAGCAGCAGCAGAATAAACATCATCTGCATCATGGGGATCATCAGCAGCAATATCAACATCATTATCAGGAGCAGCAATATCAGCTGCTGCATTAGCTGCATTAGCAGCAGCAGCTTCAACAACAACATCATCATCATACCTGTGAGGCAAACACAGGTGACGAGTATGTGTCTGTTTCACTCACTCACACATCACCATCATCAGCAGCAGAAACATTACCTACATCATCACTACCATCATCGTCAGCAGCAGAAATTCCATCAGCAACGCTGTCGTCATCATCATCATCATTAATAATTATCACGAGTCGCAGAAGCAGCGTTATGCAAACAGCTGTGGCCGTAGGTGTGACCGCCTAACCAGGTGAACCCCTTTACCAGGTGAAGCTCCTCACCAGGTGAAGCCCTCACCAGGTGAGCCCCTCACCAGGTGAACCCCTCACCAGGTGAACCTCCTCACCAAGTGAACCTCCTCACCAAGTGAACCCCTCACCAGGTGATCCCCTCACCAGGTGAGCCCCTCACCAAGTGAGCACCCTCACCAAGTGAGCACCCTCACCAGGTGAACCCCTCACCAGGTAAACCCCTCACCAGGTGAACCCCTCACCAGGTGAACCTCCTCACCAAGTGAACCCCTCACCAGGTGAGCCCCTCACCAGGTGAGCCCCTCACCAGGTGAGCACCCTCACCAGGTGAACCCCTCGCCAGGTGAACCCCTCGCCAGGTGAGCCCCTCGCCAGGTGAACCCCTCACCAGGTGAGCCCCTCGCCAGGTGAGCCCCTCGCCAGGTGAGCCCCTCGCCAGGTGAGCCCCTCGCCAGGTGAGCCCCTCGCCAGGTGAGCCCCTCGCCAGGTGAGCCCCTCATCAAGTGAACCCCTCGCCAGGTGAGCCCCTCATCAAGTGAACCCCTCACCAGGTGAGCCCCTCGCCAGGTGAACCCCTCGCCAGGTGAGCCCCTCGCCAGGTAAGCCCCTCATCAAGTGAACCCCTCGCCAGGTGAACCCCTCACCAAGTGAACCTCTCACCAGGTGAACCTCCTCACCTTGCAGCACGTTCATGACCCCGTCCGCTCAGGGCCCTCAGGGGGACTCGGGTCACCCAGGCCCCGGCATTGCGTCCCACGAGCGGTGAGCTCCCGGGGTCTCCTAGGGGGTCTCCCAGGGGGTCTCCTAGGGGGTCTCCTAGGGGGTCTCCTAGGGGGTCTCGTTTAGTTTTTTTATTTCGGGGGGGGGGGGCGAGGGGGCTGTCGGGTTCTTTGGGCCTCTGTGGGTTTCTGGGGGTATGCACAATTATATGGGGGGTACTCTGTAATTCCCTAGGTCTCTTTGGGTCGGGGGGGGGGGAGGTCTTACAACAGTGTCAAGGGCTCTCCCGTGCACTACGAGGGGCTATTCATGGTCTCTGGAGGCTAGAGGGATCAGCTTGGGGTCTGTAGGGATATCCCGCCGTCTCCGGGTTCTCTGGAAATCATCAGGGCCGTCTAGGAACGTTGGGGGTCTCCGGGAGTCTCTGAGGATCTCTAGGGATCTACAGGGATAGCCCAGGCGCTGGAGGGGCTCTCTAGGGGTCTCTGTGATGTCTGTGGACCTTACAGAGGTGTCTGGGATGTTTAAGGGGCTATGGGGGTCTCTAGGGGGACTCTGGGAATCTCACGGAGACTTGAGGGGTTCTTGGAGTCTTCAGCCCGGGGGGATCTTTGCTGTTTTTCCGTTGGCCCTGGCAACCAGACGCCGCGCGTCACGTGACTCCTCCTGCCCCCGCGCCCAACCCCCCACACCTCCCTACCCCCCACCTGTGTCTCACTCACTCACTCACACACACAGGTACTCATCACCTGTGTCTCACTCACTCACTCACACACACAGGTACTCATCACCTGTGTCTCACTCACTCACTCACACACACAGGTACTCATCACCTGTGTCTCACTCACTCACTCACACACACAGGTACTCATCACCTGTGTCTCACTCACTCACTCACACAGGTACTCATCACCTGTGTCTCACTCACTCACTCACACAGGTACTCATCACCTGTGTCTCACTCACTCACTCACACAGGTACTCATCACCTGTGTCTAACACACACTCACACAGGTGCCTCTCACCTCACTCACACTCACACAGGTGCCTCTCACCTCACTCACTCACACACACAGGTGCCTCTCACCTCACTCACTCACACACACACACAGGTGCCTCTCACCTCACTCACTCACACACACACAGGTGCCTCTCACCTCACTCACACTCACACAGGTGCTTCTCACCTCACTCACTCACTCACACAGGTGCCTCTCACCTCACTCACACACACAGGTGCCTCTCACCTCACTCACACACACAGGTGCCTCTCACCTCACTCACTCACACAGGTGCCTCTCACCTCACTCACACACACAGGTGCCTCTCACCTCACTCACTCACACTCACACAGGTGCCTCTCACCTCACTCACTCACACACACACACAGGTGCCTCTCACCTCACTCACTCACACACACACAGGTGCCTCTCACCTCACTCACACTCACACAGGTGCCTCTCACCTCACTCACTCACTCACTCACTCACACAGGTGCCTCTCACCTCACTCACCCACACAGGTGCCTCTCACCTCACTCACACACACAGGTGCCTCTCACCTCACTCACTCACACAGGTGCCTCTCACCTCACTCACACACACAGGTGCCTCTCACCTCACTCACACACACAGGTGCCTCTCACCTCACTCACACACACAGGTGCCTCTCACCTCACTCACACACACAGGTGCCTCTCCCCTCACTCACACACACAGGTGCCCCTCACCTCACTCACACACACAGGTGCCTCTCACCTCACTCACACACACAGGTGCCTCTCACCTCACTCACTCACACAGGTGCCTCTCACCTCACTCACACACACAGGTGCCTCTCACCTCACTCACTCACACAGGTGCCTCTCACCTCACTCACACACATAGGTGCCTCTCACCTCACTCACTCACACAGGTGCCTCTCACCTCACTCACACACACAGGTGCCTCTCACCTCACTCACACACACAGGTGCCTCTCACCTCACTCACACACACAGGTGCCTCTCACCTCACTCACACACACAGGTGCCTCTCACCTCACTCACACACACAGGTGCCTTTCACCTCACTCACTCACACAGGTGCCTCTCACCTCACTCACACACACAGGTGCCTCTCACCTCACTCACACACACAGGTGCCTCTCACCTCACTCACACTCACACAGGTGCCTCTCACCTCACTCACTCACTCACTCACACAGGTGCCTCTCACCTCACTCACACACACAGGTGCCTCTCACCTCACTCACACACACAGGTGCCTCTCACCTCACTCACACACACAGGTGCCTCTCACCTCACTCACACACACAGGTGCCTCTCACCTCACTCACACACACAGGTGCCTCTCACCTCACTCACACACACAGGTGCCTCTCACCCCACTCACTCACTCACACAGGTGCCTCTCACCTCACTCACTCACACACACAGGTGCCTCTCACCTCACTCACTCACACACACAGGTGCCTCTCACCTCACTCACTCACTCACACAGGTGCCTCTCACCTCACTCACTCACTCACTCACACAGGTGCCTCTCACCTCACTCACACACACACAGGTGCTCCTCACCTCACTCACTCACTCACACAGGTGCCTCTCACCTCACTCACTCACTAACTCACACAGGTGCCTCTCACCTCACTCACTCACTAACTCACACAGGTGCCTCTCACCTCACTCACTCACTAACTCACACAGGTGCCTCTCACCTCACTTCACAAACACACACAGGTGCCTCTCACCTCACTCACTCACACACACAGGTGCCTCTCACCTCACTCACTCACACAGGTGCCTCTCACCTCACTCACTCACTCACACAGGTGCCTCTCACCTCACTCACACACACACAGGTGCTCCTCACCTCACTCACTCACTCACACAGGTGCCTCTCACCTCACTCACACACACAGGTGCCTCTCACCTCACTCACTCACTAACTCACACAGGTGCCTCTCACCTCACTCACTCACTAACTCACACAGGTGCCTCTCACCTCACTCACTCACTAACTCACACAGGTGCCTCTCACCTCACTTCACTCACACACACAGGTGCCCCTCACCTCACTCACACACTCACACAGGTGCCTCTCACCTCACTCACTCACTCAGGTGCCTCTCACCTCACTCACTCACTCACACAGGTGCCTCTCACCTCACTCACTCACACACACAGGTGCCTCTCACCTCACTCACTCACTCACACAGGTGCCTCTCACCTCACCCACTCACACACACAGGTGCCTCTCACCTCACTCACTCACTCACACAGGTGCCTCTCACCTCACTCACTCACTCACACAGGTGCCTCTCACCTCACTCACTCACTCACACAGGTGCCTCTCACCTCACTCACTCACTCACACAGGTGCCTCTCACCTCACTCACTCACTCACTCACACAGGTGCCTCTCACCTCACTCACTCACTCACACAGGTGCCTCTCACCTCACTCACACACTCACACAGGTGCCTCTCACCTCACTCACTCACACACACAGGTGCCTCTCACCTCACTCACACACACAGGTGCCTCTCACCTCACTCACTCACACACACAGGTGCCTCTCACCTCACTCACACACACAGGTGCCTCTCACCTCACTCACACACACAGGTGCCTATCACCTCACTCACTCACACACACAGGTGCCTCTCACCTCACTCACACACACAGGTGCCTCTCACCTCACTCACTCACACACACAGGTGCCTCTCACCTCACTCACACACACAAGTGCCTCTCACCTCACTCACACACACAGGTGCCTCTCACCTCACTCACTCACACACACAGGTGCCTCTCACCTCACTCACTCACACAGGTGCCTCTCACCTCACTCACTCACTCACACAGGTGCCTCTCACCTCACCCACTCACACACACAGGTGCCTCTCACCTCACTCACTCACTCACACAGGTGCCTCTCACCTCACTCACTCACTCACACAGGTGCCTCTCACCTCACTCACTCACTCACACAGGTGCCTCTCACCTCACTCACACACACACACAGGTGCCTCTCACCTCACTCACTCACACACACAGGTGCCTCTCACCTCACTCACACACACAGGTGCCTCTCACCTCACTCACACACACAGGTGCCTCTCACCTCACTCACTCACACACACAGGTGCCTCTCACCTCACTCACTCACACAGGTGCCTCTCACCTCACTCACTCACTCACACAGGTGCCTCTCACCTCACCCACTCACACACAGGTGCCTCTCACCTCACTCACTCACACAGGTGCCTCTCACCTCACTCACTCACTCACACAGGTGCCTCTCACCTCACCTACTCACACACACAGGCGCCTCTCACCTCACTCACTCACTCACACAGGTGTCTCTCACCTCACTCACTCACTCACACAGGTGCCTCTCACCTCACTCACTCACTCACACAGGTGCCTCTCACCTCACTCACTCACTCACACAGGTGCCTCTCACCTCACTCACTCACTCACACAGGTGCCTCTCACCTCACTCACTCACACAGGTGCCTCTCACCTCACTCACTCACTCACACAGGTCCCCTTCACCTCACTCACTCACACAGGTGCCCCTCACTCACTCACTCACACAGGTGCCTCTCACTTCACTCACTCACACACACAGGTGCCTCTCACTCACTTACTCACTCACACAGGTGCCTCTCACTTCACTCACTCACTCACACAGGTGCCTCTCACTTCACTCACTCACACACACAGGTGCCTCTCACTCACTTACTCACTCACACAGGTGCCTCTCACCTCACTCACTCACTCACACAGGTGCCTCTCACCTCACTCACTCACTCACACACACAGGTGCCTCTCACCTCACTCACACACACAGGTGCCTCTCACCTCACTCACACACACAGGTGCCTCTCACCTCACTCACACACACAGGTGCCTCTCACCTCACTCACTCACACACACAGGTCCCCTTCACCTCACTCACTCAGACAGGTGCCCCTCACTCACTCACTCACACAGGTGCCTCTCACTTCACTCACTCACACACACAGGTGCCTCTCACTCACTTACTCACTCACACAGGTGCCCCTCACCTCACCTCACTCACTCACACAGGTGCCTCTCACCTCACTCACTCACTCACACAGGTCCCCTTCACCTCACTCACTCACTCACACAGGTGCCTCTCACCTCACTCACTCACTCACACAGGTGCACCTCACTCACTCACTCACACAGGTCCCCTTCACCTCACTCACTCACTCACACAGGTGCACCTCACTCACTCACTCACACAGGTGCCCCTCACCTGCGCGTGGCCCGTATATTTGAATGATTCCCGAGTTCCGCGAGTCTCTGTAGCACAGCCATGGGAATCTCAGAAAACCACTCTTCATGGTCCACGAGCCCAGAGCGCATCTCTCACCTGTGTGGTAACTCACCTGGCGGTACCACCTATAAAGTCTCAACTAGTTTTCGTCATGTTACCAGGTAAGGCTCATGAAGCTGTGTAGCTCTGTTTCAGAAGCGACCTGGCCATCACAAATGATCGCGCAACAAAGTGGTCCATCACGTGGATATTTATAACAGGAGCCAAAGACTCTAAACGCGTGGTGGTGTTGATTCTAAATGTAGAGGGAAAAACCCGGAGCACAC